AACTCACTGTCTTCTCAAGGATGGCCTTTAATCTGCCTGTTGGAAACTTCAACTTGCCCACTGGTTTGAGGGTGATAGGGCGTGGCTACCTTGTGCTTGACTCCATAGTTTCTTCATCAACTTCTCAAACACTTTGTTGATGAAATGGGAACCTCCATCCGAAATAACAACCCTTGGGATGCCATATCTTGGAAAGATGATGGTTCTGAACAGTTTGATAACAACCTTAGCATCACAAGCAGGGCAGATGGCTTCAATCCATTTGGACACATAGTCCACAGCACCATAATGTAGTTGTCCCATTTGAGGAGGTTTGAAAGGTCCCATGAAGTCTATTCCCCATACATCAAAGATCTCAACCTAGAATTGGGTTCAGTGGCATTTCATCTCTCTTGGTGATCCCTCCTTTCCTTTGGCATGGATCACATTTGCGATGAAGCTTGCTGCATCCTTGAACAAGGTAGGCCACCATACCAGTTGCAAGACTTATTGCGGTTTTGAATGTGGCAAAGTGACCTCCATAAGCAGACCCATGGCATGTTCTAGTCTTCTTCAGCTATGCATCTTCTGTAAATGCTGTGGTCCTCTCTTGTACAAGTAAGGCTCATCCCAATAGTAGTGCCTAGCATCTTTGAAGAACTTCTTCCTCTTGTAAGCATCAAACTACTAGGGACTTCTCCAGACACCATGAAGTTCACTATATCAGCATACCAGGCAAATTCTCATCACGCAGAGCCTTAACTTCTTCCAGCCTGACTTTCTCATCAAAACTTCCTTCAAGATCATGATTGCCATTAGCTGTTCTTCAGGCATAGAATCATTGATGGGGACATGTCTTCAACTCGCATCCTAGAGAGATGATCAGCAACTCCATTTTCTACTCCCTTTTTGTCCACAACTTCTATATCAAACTCTTGAAGCAAAAGGATCCATCTGAGAAGTCTTGGCTTTGTATCTTTCTTAGCAAAGATGTGCCTAAGGGCAGCATGATCTGTGTGCACAATCACCTTGGATCCAACTATATAGCTTCGAAACTTCTCAAAGGCAAAGACATGGCAAGGAGCTCCTTCTCTGTGGTTGCATACTTGCATTGAGCATCATCCATAGTCTTGCTTGCATAGTAGATGACATTAAGTTTCTTGTCTATCTTTTGGCCAAGCACTGCTCCCACTGCATAGTCAGATGCATCACACATAATCTCAAATGGGTAATCCCAGTTTGGAGCTTGAACTATTGGGGCAGAACCAGAGCATCCTTCAGCAAGGTCCAAGACTTGTGGCATTCTTCATCAAACTCAAAATCTGTCTCCTTGCATAGAAGTCTTGTAAAGGTCTTGCTATCTTTGAGAAATCCTTGATGAATCTTCTGTAGAACCCTGCATGACCCAGAAACTCCTATGTCCTTCACAGTCTTGGGAACAGGAGCTGCAACATGACATCCACCTTAGCTCGATCGAGCTCGATCCCTTTCTCGGAAATCTTGTGTCCAAGTACAATCCCTTCTCGAACCATGAAATGGCACTTCTCCCAGTTGAGTACTAGATTTGTCTCCTCACACCTCTGCAACACCCTGCACAAGTTTGACAAACATGAGGAGAAGGATGCTCCATAGACTGAGAAATCGTCCATGAAGACTTCTACCATCTCCTCTATCAGATCTGAAAAAATGGAGGTCATGCATCTCTGGAAAGTAGCTGGGGCATTGCACAACCCAAATGGCATCCTTCGATAAGCAAAGGTACCATAAGGGCATGTGAAAGTGGTCTTCTCCTGATCATTTGGATGGATCGGGATTTGGAAGAAACCACTGTAACCATCAAGAAAATATAAAAGGGATGGTTTGCCAATCTTTCTAACATCTGATCAATGAAAGGGAGAGGGAAATGATCCTTTCTAGATGCTGAATTTAACTTCCTATAGTCAATACACATGCGATGCCCCACTATTGTTCTAGTGGGAATCAGCTCCTCTTTGTCATTTTTATGACAGTGATCCCCCTTTCTTTGGGACGCAATGAACTGGAGATATCCAAGTGCTATCACTGATGGGATAGATTATCCCAGCATCAAGCAACTTGAGTATCTCTTTCTTCACTACTTCCTTTAGATTGGGGTTCAATCTCCTTTGAGGTTCAATGCTTGACTTACTTTCATCCTCTAGATGAATCCTATGGATGCATAGGTCAGGGGAGATCCCCTTGATATCATCTAGAGTGTAACCTATTGCCTTTCTGTACTTTCTCAATTCAACAAGCAAGCACTCAACTGTTCAGGTTCCAAATCAGAGTTCACAATGACAGGGTAAGTTGAGTTTTCACCCAGAAATGCATACCTGAGGCCCTTCAGGCAAAGGTTTGAGGTCGACTTTAGGCGCCTTGAGCTCAGACCAATCTCCTTGAGCTTGTTCCTTGCATCTGCAGCTCGATCGAGTCGGTTCGTTTTGACTCGATCGAGTTCGCGGTCGAGCTCACTGCCAGAACTTCACAGAGTGGCTCGTCTAACCCTCAATGCAGAGATTTGGAACTGGTCTGAAGGTGTCAAGAAGCCTTGAGTACTCCTCAGTTTCTTATGTAAATATCCTTCATATGATCCTTGGTAAAGCAACTTGCAAGGGATCTTCCAAAGATAGCCTCCAAAAGCTCATATGCCAACTGATCCATTCTTCAATGTAAAAGAGTTGGCCTTCTATTGTTGGCTTCCTCATTGTATCCTTGATGTCAAACTTCATCTTAGGTCCTTTCCAAGGTTCAGCACTATTGTTCCTTCACAGACATCTATCATTGCTCTTGCTGTAGCTAAGAAGGTCTTCCTAGTATCAAAGGGTTGTTGGTTCTTCATCCATTTCAGCACAATGAAGTCGGTGGGGATTTCAACATTCCCTATCCTCAAAGGGGTAAATCTTCAAATATCCCAGTTGGCAACCTTATGATCTATCGCCAAAATAAGTGAGATTCCGCAGGCTTGATACTTGTGTATCCCAGTCTCTTCGCACTGACAAAGGCATAAGGCTGACTGATGATCCTAGGTCACAAGGCTGTTTTTGAAGGATAGAGGTCCTACATGCAGGCAGTGTGAAACTCCCGGATCTTCCTTTTTGTCGGAGATAACCTTCGTTGAATGATTGCACTGCATTCACGAGTCAAACCACCATTCCTTGCACTTCCTTATCCTTTGAAGTACAACATCCTTCAGGAACTTTCTGGTAGGTGGAATGAGCATCAAGAGCATCAATGAAAGGCAACTTCAACTCAATCTCCTTCATGAGCTCATCAAACTTAGTTTTGTGCTTCCAATAGTTGTTTCTTGAACCTTCCTGGGAAAGGTAGAGGGAGTTTGTATGGTGGTGGCACGAATGGAGTGTCCTTCTTCTTACCAACAGGTTTAGGCTGGCTGACTGGACTAGCTTTGTCAGCTCTCTGAGCTCGATCGAGTTCTGATTTGTCTTGTGGAGCTTCTGGTTCATTAGCTCGATCGAGCTCTGGTTCAGTGTTGTGTTCAGCTCGATCGAGTTGGTGCAGGAATGTCTGAATACTCAACTAAATCCTCCCCTTCCTCGTCATCGATGTCCACAGCAGATTTGAGGTGTACCTCTCTGTTAGGCAACTGTCGACCACTTCTTAGCGTTACAGCTTGAGCATACTCTTGAGATGAAGAGGATGAAGCACTAGAAGACTCAATAATCTGAACCTCTTGAAGTTAAGGACTCAATTTTGGAGTCTATCTCTACCAACTTGTTGTTCATGTCCATGTACCCTTGGCTTGCCCTTGTAGAAGCTGCTGGAATATTCATATCCCAAACTTGACTTGGTGAGGTATGATATGGCATTGGGGCGAATCCAGGTGGTACACTCTGATGTTGCACCGGAAAATTTGGTGGGTAGCCTTGAAGAGTCCCTTCTTGTCTGTAGCCATGCGGAGCAATCTGATATGATGCAGGCGGTTGGTATGGTGTATGACCATATTAGGTCTTTTTGTAGTTGCCTTGTTCATTGTTCATGCAGCAAACTTCTGCAAATTGTGTTTCCTCCCCTTCCTGGTCTTGAACAAGGGCTTTACCAGAAACAGAGTAGACATGCTTCGCAGTGAATTGTGCTAGGATCAGTTTGTCCAACTTGGAATTGAGGGCATGCATGTCTTTGCGAAGCTGTGCATCCGACTCGATCGAGTGGTCGGTCGAGCTTCCAGTCTGTGCGATCATACTCCTCTCCATAACTCCCATTTGAGTTGGCAATGTTCTCCACAAGCTGCCAGCCATCATCTACATCTTGGTTGAGGAAGTTTCCATTGTTGGCTGTGTCTAGCATGTCTCTATATCTTGCCAAACATCCTCTATAGAGTGTAGAAAGTAAGGACTCATTGTTGAAGTTATGAGGGCATTGACTGGTGTAGCCCTTGAATCGGTCACAAGCCTCACCAAAAGTCTCATTGTTCCTCTGAGTGAAGCCTGAGATCTCACTCCTTAGCTTGGCTGTACGACCGGTTGAAAAGAACTTAGCAAGAAATGCCTTCTTGCACTCATCCCAAGTGGTGATGGTTCCATGGGGTAGGCTCTTCTCCCATTGGTGAGCCTTGTCAGCAAGAGACATAGGGAAGAGTCTCAGCTTGATGGCATCTTCAGAGACACCATTGATCTTGGTCAAATCACACAACCTATCAAACTCATCAAGTGATCAATTGGGTCTTCACTTGATAGCCCATGGAACATCTTGTTCTGCACTAGGTTGATCATACCCAGCTTGATCTCAAAGTTGTGGTTCTGGACAGGTGGTGGGACAATCCCTTGTCTTTGTTGATGGCGGTTTGGTGCATCTCCAAGCCAATCGGTCGAGTCTGCCTAGCTCGACCATTTCCATTACCCAAAGGGTTTCCATTACCCTCTGGTATATCCATTGTATCAGTAACAACCACCTCTGGTTCAGCTTGTTGCCTCTGTCTCTTCTTCTCTGTTTTCTGCCTATGTTGATGTCTAACTCGACCAAGTCCTCAGTTGATGAGCTCGATCGAGTTCGCATACACCTGCAAAAGAAATCAAAAACCCAGCAATACAAGTAACAAAGGTGGGATAACTTGATCGTCCAAGTGATTTGGAAACTCAAATGCAACAATAGTCAAACCTGGCAACGGCGCCAAATTGATGAAAGGATTTTTATGGTGGTGTGAGTGATGTAAATGAATGTATGAGATGGATGCAAGGGTGGAATAAGAATGAGATGGTATGGTGCAATCATCATAGTCATGTAGTATAAGAGGTTATCAATCCAAATGGGTAAGTTGTTGCTCTATGAGAATATGCAAACACAAGAAAGTCAAGTAAAATGTAAAGATGGATGATTCTAACAACCTAATGAAATGAAATGCAAGAAAATCAGTAAATAAAAGCAGATCGCCAAGAGCTCGATCGAGTAGAAACAGAGTAACTGAGCTCGATCGAGTTGGGGGTCGAGTTAGTGTAAAAACAGAAGGAAATGCAATGAAAAGCGATAAAGGTGCAAACTTTAAGATGTTAATACGAAGATTAGGGCTAAAGACAGGGTTTTGCAGCTAGAGGGAGGCTATACTTAATCAATATTGCTCTTAAACACTTGTACTCAAGCTATCTCTTGGTATTGAGCTTCTCTAGCCTAGCTAACCCTTTCCTAGGGTGAAACAGGGTATCAGCCAGTGAGATCAGGCCTTGGAGGCATTAGGATCATTGCTCAAACTAACCATCCAACACTATAAACCTCTTTTCGAGAGGCAAGCATATTGGAGCTCTTAGTGGACTTTTTCAAGCGATTTCCCAATATTCCCATGAGGAAAATCGCCTAGACTCATACACACCATGGTCAGTGGTTGTGCAGCCTTAAGCCTTGTCCAAAAGAGAGAGATTTTAGGTTAAGAACATACAAGCAAGAGAGATTAAGCATAAACAACCTCTAACCTATCCCATCTTAAGCCCTAAAGGGAACTTCCTACTACACATTGCGAAATACATAACCAAATGCAATGAATGAAACATCAAAAGAAAGAAGAGAAGGAATGGAACAATTTTATTGAAATAAGCAAGTGCAGAAATACAAAGATAAAACCTAGATCTAAGGTTCAAGAGCAAAAGCTCAAGAACACAAAGAGAGATTTAAAAGTAAATTACAATACTAATTAAAAACCTAAAACAAAAGAAAAGCTAAAAGAGAGTTTTTTTCGTGGCTACAAGCCCTTAAATAGGAAAAAGATTAGGTTTAGGATAAAAGGGAAGCAACATTTTTCGGGTTTGACTTTGTCTCCGCAGCTCGATTGAGTTGGTCTTGGCCGGTCGAGTTGGTGAGCTCGACCGGTTGGTCGAGTCGGACAGGTTTAGCTGGCTTCAAAGTCGGCGTCTTTCTTCATTCCAAGCATGCGCGGCCTGACTGAGTCCATGCACAATGTCCTTCCTTGCTCCTCACATCCCAATTGCTCCATTGTGCTCCAAAAAGACTTGCTTAAGGATCAAACATGCACATGTATGCAAATGCAACCTAAAACTACAATGTATGAATAAGAAAGGAAAAGGAACAAGATATGATGCTAATGAATGATAAAACTATGCAAAAGATGCATAAAAGATGTACTAAAACTATGCGAAATGCAAGTACATCAAGGGGTCGATCTCCATGCGCGCGACCGAGTCCTCCGAAACCACGGGAATATTAAACTTCCCAATAGAAAAATCGGAGACTTGGGCTGCCTTGGACGCTTCCGCCATCTCTCATTCGAGATCTTTTAGCCTCGCGAGCCCTTCTTCCTGGTTGGCTACCCCGGAGATCAGCGATTCGAGGAGATCGATGTTGGGTTGGAGTTCGAGGTGATCGCCTCCTTCTCGTTTTCCACCTTCTATTTCTAGAACTTCACCTTAGCCCCCTCAAGCACTTCCGATGCTTCATGGCCATCTCTCTCCAACCTGCGCGGTTAGCTCGGCGGGCTACCTCGTTCTTCCGGCTGAGGCGGAGCGACTGCGTGAGCGCACTCGAACTCTCCTGCTGCAAAGCCGACATATATTCCTTTTTCATGTCCAGCTGAGGCAAGAGATCGGCAAAACCTAGTTGGGTCTTTAGTCCAACGGTTTAGGAAGTGGATGTGCTGAAGAGCATGGAGATCCAAAGGGGTTGGCTTGGGTAGTGGCTCATAGTTGGGAATGTCAATCCCCACATGTTGTACTATGGCCGTGATAAGCCTCCCAAAACGAACACAAAGCTTCTTGTTGCCTTCCAAGTCTTTAGCTAGCTTCCTCACATTGATGAATGTCTTGGCAAGCAAAGTCCAAGGTTGGCCTTGTACTCATGCTTGATGAATGGTGTGGTGAGGATGTAGAACTCATCAGTTGTGACCTTGTTGGCTTCTTGTTTGCATTGGAAAGTGGTGGAGATGAGGCGGTGCACATAGCGAATGGCTGGATGAGTGATTCTAGACACCTTTGATCTTGAAGGCAAGAATGGTTCATTGGCAAAGTGTGTCCAATCAGCAAAGGCAGCTTGTTTCCTCTTTGAGTTCTCCTTGAAGTCATGTGCTGTCTCATTGGGAAGTCCAAAGAGTTGGCATAGAGCTGAGATGGAGATGCGCCCATTGGCATCGCCTATCTTGAAGAGTAGGAGTCCATCACCAGCTGGTTGGTCTCCATTGTGGTTGGGAAAGGCAAGAGCTACTGTGGAGAGGAACTCCTTGGTGAGTTGAGTACTCACTACACTCTAGCTTGAAGAGCTTGCTCAAGCCTAGCTTCCTTATGTACCATGTGACATCATCTCTTATCTTGAGAAGATCAAGGGTTTGGGTGTCCATCTTCACACATGGCTTCGATGTTCACCTTCTCCATTGCCTTCTTACACTTTCTTGGGTCTTGATTTGTTCTCCAACAAAGGTTACAAGTGCCCAATCATCTTCTCTTCTTGGACTCTCCACATGTTCTTGATTTGCATCAATGGAATGTGGTGAAGTTGGTATTTCTGCTCTTGCATTGGAGCTACTACTCCCTAGCTTGATTTGTTTCTTGGTGGTTGCATGAATGGGTTCTTCTTCTTCTTCATACTCTCATTTCCTTTTGTCTTTGCCATTGGTGTACCTACAAGAGCAAATTCTTGGGAAGAAATATGAGTTTGTGATTAATGCAAAAGAAGAATAAGCTAATTGAGTTGTAATAATGATATGGAATAATGGAACAACTCAAAGCAAAGAGACAAAATAGAAATTTCACTTTTTCAAAGTTAATTTTCGGATTTTACTGTTCATCTCAAGATTATGGTGCTTAAAATCAAAATTTTCAGCAAATCAAGAGAAATTGAGTTTCTAATCCAAGTAATCACTAGATAAACTAATGAATTGAAGCATGACTAAGCAATTTCACCTTTGAATAAGGGGTTTGGAATGCCCAATAAGTTTTGTGAAAAACTATTCAATTGTGAAATTAAACTTCAAATAACTCTAAACCACCTAGGTTCCACCTAGCTAAGTTCATTACAAGACTAATAAGATGCAATTTCAAGTTTAGAGAAGAGTTCTGATACGTGAATCCGGCCGAGCGCGAGCCGTTTCTTCTTTGTTCGTGTGTCCCGCGCAGACGGTTTCTGTCGCGCGAAGTCAATCCGGCCGAGCATAAGCCGTTCCTTCCCGACTCGACCGGCACGGTCTACCCGGTTGGAAATTGCTCGACCAAAACTTTTTTCTGCGCGTCCGCGGCCAATAGTTTGGCGCGGATTGTGTTTTAACACCTTTTTCTCCTTCTATCCTATCTTAAAACAAAGAAAACACAAAAGCAAAACAAAAACTAAGAAATTTAAAGAAAGAAAAGTAAAAGTACCTCATGGGTTGCCTCCCATGCAGAGCTTGTTTTAAGTCTTTAGCTTGACTGTAAGGATTGGCACTCAGGAGAAGATGGAGACTAGAGGTATCCTTGATCCTCCAAGTCTTTTCTCCTTGCAATGAGTATCTGGTGGGTGATTCACAGCTGGATAGACAATCTCTCCATGATGTCCCTTGGCACAAATGCCTTAGGAAAAAGTTTGTAGAGTTCTTGTAACTTTCTCCTTGAATCCTTCTAGATTCTCATCAATAAGCTCCTTTGGGAATAGAAGCTTGATGTACTTGCATTTTACATAGTTTTAGCACATCTTTTATGCATCTTTTGCATAGTTTTAGCTTCCATTTGCATCATATCTTGTTCCTTTTCTCTTCTTATGCATTCATGTTAGTTTTAGGTTGCATTTGCATACATATGCATGTTTGGTCCTTTGAAATAGGTCTTTTGGAGCATTCTGGAGCATATGGGACATAAGGAGCATGGAGGGACTTGGCACATGGAAGCAGCTCAACTGGATACGCAAAGGAAGAAGGGAGAAGCCATCTTGAAGACCAGCTCGACCGTCCACTCGACCAACCGGTCGAGTTCCTCAACTCGATCGATCGAGCTGGGGAAGTCAAAGTCAAACCCGAAAAATGTTGCTTCCCCCTTGACTTTCCTTTGACCCTAAACCTAATCCTCTTTGTATTTAAAGGCTCTAAGCCACGAAAAAACCACCAAGCTTTAGATTATTTTGTTTTAGTTTCTTTTAATTTATTGTCTTTTACTTTTTAGAGATCTAATCCCATCTTTGTGTTCTTGAAGCTCTTGCTTCTTGAATCTAGATCCTGGATAATCTCTTGTATTTGCACTTGCTTATTTCAATAAAAGTTGTTTAATTTCATCTCCTCTTTCTTATGATGTCTCTTTTATTGCATTTGCTTGTGTTTACATTCATGTGTAGTGAGTAGTTACCCATTAGGGTTTGAGATGGGATAGATTAGAGGTTTCATATGCTTAATCCTTCTAGCTTATGGTCTTAATCTAGATTCTCTCTCTTTTGGATAGATCTTAAGGCTACATGACCACTACCCCTGGCTTGTAAGTCCTTAGGCGACTCCCCACACGAAGTGATGGCATTCGCTGGAAAAGATCCACTAAGAGCTCCAATATCTCTTGCTCTAGACAATAGAGGTCTAAGGGGTTGGATGGATTAGTTTGGGCAATGATCCTATAGCCTCCAAGGTTTGATTCTCACTGGCTAACCCCCTGTTTCTGAGATCATTCCTTGGTTGATAGCCTCCACCTTGGGAAAGGGTTGGCTAGGCATTGAGAAGCCCAATATCAAGAGAAGCCTTGATACAAGGAGTTTTAAGAGCTAGATTGATTAAGTGTAGATTCCTTTGATTGCAAAACCCTGTCTTGAACCCTAATTCTCTCTTTATCTTGTTAAAGTCGTCACCTTTAGCTTTTTTGTCTCAACTCGTCCCTAAACTCGATCGAGCTGGTACTCTGTTCCACTCGACTCGAGTCCTTGGTCGAGCTACTTCACTGCTTTGTTTACTTTTATTGCACTGCATTTTCATTTTTAGGTTGTTAGTGTTACTTCAAATCTATAACTGCTTGCTTGACTTTCTGGTTGTTTCATATTCTCATAGAGTGACAAGTTTCCCATTTTGGATTGATAACCTCTTATACTTCAATGACTATGATGGTTAAGAGGAATTGTTGACTGTGTTTGTGTTTGCATCTTACCACTCATCATTACCACTGATTGCATTCCACTCATCTCATTTCATTCTTTTCACATCCACACACAAATCCTATCATCAATTTGGCGCCGTTGCCGATTTGGGAATATTTTTGTTGCATTTGAGTTTCAAACACACTTGGACGATCAAGCTATACCACCCCTGTTCTATTGTACTGCTGGGTTTTTGTCTCTTTTTGCAGGTGTATGCGAACTCGATCGAGTCGGTCTACTGAAGACTTGGTCGAGCTAGACTTACAACGGGTAGAAAGAGGGTTCAGAGGTCACAGAGGGTACAAGAGGAACCTGAGGTGCTTGTTGCTGATACAATGGATGTACCAGAGGGGAATGGAAACCCTTTGGGCATGGACTCGGTCGAGCTAGGCAAACTCGACCGATTGGTCAAGGAGATGCTCCAAACCGCCACCAACAGAGACAAGGGATTGTTCCACCACCAGTGCAGAACCACAACTTTGAGATCAAGCTGGGAATGATCAACCTTGTCCAGAACAAGATGTTCCATGGATTGCCAAGTGAAGACCCCATTGACCACCTTGATGAGTTTGATAGGCTTTGTGATTTGACAAAGATCAATGGTGTCTCTGAAGATGCCATCAAGCTGAGACTCTTTCCTATGTCTCTAGCTGACAAAGCTCACCAATGGGAGAAGAGCTTGCCCCATGGCACAATCACCACTTGGGATGAATGCAAGAAGGCCTTTCTTGCTAAGTTTTTCTCCACCGGTCGCACAGCCAAGCTTAGAGGAGAGATATCCAGCTTCATCCAGCGAAACAATGAGACATTCGCAGAGGCTTGGGAGAGGTTCAAAGGCTACACAAGTCAGTGCCCACACCATGGATTCAACAATGAATCCTACTCTCCACTCTTTATAGAGGATGCTTGCCTAGGTATAGGGAGATGCTAGACACAGCTAGCAATGGGAACTTCCTCAACCAGGATGTAGATGATGGCTGGCAACTTGTGGAGAACATAGCTAACTCAAATGGAAGCTATGGAGAAGAGTATGATCGCACCAACCGGAGCTCGACCCACCACTCGATCGAGTCAGACGAAAAGTTGAGAAAAGATGTTAAGGCATTGAATGAGAAGTTGGATAAGCTGATCCTAGCTCAGTCCACAATGAAGAAAGTCAACTTTGTGTCTGCTGAGGAGATGGAACCAGTCCAAGAAGGGGAGGATACACAATTTGCTGAGGTGTGCTACATGAGCAATGGGCAAGGAGGTTACAACAAAGGATACTATAATTACAAGTCCAACCCTGCCATGTCATACCGCAACACTGATGTTGCTAACCCTCAGGACCAAGTATATCCTCAACAACAAGCAGCTCGATCGAGTCAGGTGCCACAACATGGGTATGGTCAAAAGAACAATTACCAAGGACCACAAGGCACTTTCCCTGGACAACAAATGAATATCCCACCAGGCTTCCCCCACCAACCGCCCCAGCCTGCACCTTCACAAGAGAATGAGCTCAAGGCAATGCTAAAGCAACTACTTCAAGGGCAAGCTGATGGGGTAGTGGACACAAGCAAGAAGCTAGCTGAAATAAACTCTAAGATCGAGAACCTCAACACAAGGGTTTACTCTCTGGAGAATCATGCTTCTTCTGTTGCTGCTGCTACAAAGCAAGGACAACTACCTGGTAAAGCTATTCAGAACCCCAAGGAACAGTGCAAGGTCATCTTCACTCAAGAAGGACTTGTTGAAGAAGAGGATCAAGAAAGGGTCATTGAAGATTTTTGTTTACTGCTGAATGATGAAGAGATTGTTGCTGCTGAGGCTCCTGGAGTCCAGATTGATCAACCAGAAGTGCATGCACCTACTGTGGCCATTCACACTTCACCAGTTGAGCTCGCACGACAAGCTCGATCGGCAGCTCGATCGAGTCCAACTCTAGCTCGATCGAGTCCGACCTCTTCTGTCCGACAGCCTGTTTTGCTTGATCCTTATCAACCGGTTGCCGCTTCCTCGTCTCGCCTACTTAGTCAAGGTCACAAGGAAGTGATTCACAAGTTCAGAAGAGATCTCAGTGGGATTGGAATTGAGTTGCCTCCTATGGATAGCATGAGTGAGGCATTTGATCAAATGCAAATGGTCAAGGATGTTCTAGCCAACAGTGATAAAGTTTCAGAGGTCCTACAAGAGTCTACTCATCAGTTCAACCTGCTTACTTCACCCACCTTCCTACCAAAGGTCAAGGATCAAGGGAAATTCACTCTCCCTTGCACACTTGGGCATCTTGAGATTGACAATGCCTTAGTGGATTCTGGAGCAAGCATCAATCTGATCTCTCTCTCCATGGCAGAGAAGCTAGGCATTGCTGGAGCCTTGCAGCGCCCTACTACTTCAATCATGTTTGGAGATGCAACTTCTAAGTCTCCTCTTGGAGTGTTCAAGAACTATCACTTGAAAATTGGAGAATGCATCATCCAAACTGATCTCACTGTGATGGAAATGGAAGAAGAGAAGGATTTGCCTCTGTTATTGGGAACCCCTTTCCTTAGTACAGTTGGCGCTTCAATAGACTTTCACAAGCAAGAAGTGATCCTTCACAAGGTGAATAGTTTGGTGTCATATCGCTTGCAGCCTAGAGGTTCAGACTTTTGTGCCACAATTGACAGTACCAATCTCAGTTCTAAGAGTCATGGAGCTACAAAGGTTGTGAAGGAAAGGGTTGACAAGGAACCAAGAGTTGGGAAGGATAAGGATGAGAGAGGACCAAGGATTGAGAAGCCACGTCTTGAGAGGGCTGATGTACTTGCATTTTACATAGTTTTAGCACATCTTTTATGCATCTTTTGCATAGTTTTAGCTTCCATTTGCATCATATCTTGTTCCTTTTCTCTTCTTATGCATTCATGTTAGTTTTAGGTTGCATTTGCATACATATGCATGTTTGGTCCTTTGAAATAGGTCTTTTGGAGCATTCTGGAGCATATGGGACATAAGGAGCATGGAGGGACTTGGCACATGGAAGCAGCTCAACTGGACACGCAAAGGAAGAAGGGAGAAGCCATCTTGAAGACCAGCTCGACCCTACTCGACCAACCGGTCGAGTTCCTCAACTCGACCGGCCAAGCTTCAACTCGATCGAGCTGGGGAGTCAAAGTCAAACCCGAAAAATGTTGCTTCCCCCTTGACTTCCCTTTGACCCTAAACCTAATCCTCTTGTATTTAAAGGCTCTAAGCCACGAAAAAACCACCAAGCTTTAGATTACTTTGTTTTAGCTTTCTTTTAATTTATTGTCTTTACTTTTTAGCAACCCTAATCCCATCTTTGTGTTCTTGAAGCTCTTGCTTCTTGAATCTTAGATCCTGGATTATTTGCTTTGTATTTGCACTTGCTTATTTCAATAAAAGTTGTTTAATTTCATCTCCTCTTTCTTATGATGTCTCTTTTATTGCATTTGCTTGTGTTTACATTCATGTGTAGTGAGTAGTTACCCATTAGGGTTTGAGATGGGATAGATTAGAGGTTTCATATGCTTAATCCTTCTAGCTTATGGTCTTAATCTAGATTCTCTCTCTTTTGGATAGATCTTAAGGCTACATGACCACTACCCCTGGCTTGTAAGTCCTTAGGCGACTCCCCACACGAAAGTGATGGCATTCGCTGGAAAAGATCCACTAAGAGCTCCAATATCTCTTGCTCTAGACAATAGAGGTCTAAGGGGTTGGATGGATTAGTTTGGGCAATGATCCTATAGCCTCCAAGGTTTGATTCTCACTGGCTAACCCCCTGTTTCTGAGATCATTCCTTGGTTGATAGCCTCCACCTTGGGAAAGGGTTGGCTAGGCATTGAGAAGCCCAATATCAAGAGAAGCCTTGATACAAGGAGTTTTAAGAGCTAGATTGATTAAGTGTAGATTCCTTTGATTGCAAAACCCTGTCTTGAACCCTAATTCTCTCTTTATCTTGTTAAAGTCGTCACCTTTAGCTTTTTTGTCTCAACTCGACCCTAAACTCGATCGAGCTGGTACTCTGCCACTCGACTCGAGTCCTTGGTCGAGCTACTTACTTCACTGCTTTGTTTACTTTTATTGCACTGCATTTCATTTTTAGGTTGTTAGTGTTACTTCAAATCTATAACTGCTTGCTTGACTTTCTGGTTGTTTCATATTCTCATAGAGTGACAAGTTTCCCATTTTGGATTGATAACCTCTTATACTTCAATGACTATGATGGTTAAGAGGAATTGTTGATTGTGTTTGCATCTTACCATCATCATATTACCCTGTTTGCATTCCACCTCATATCTTATCATTCATTCATATCACACACACAAAATCCTATCATCAATTTGGCGCCGTTGCCGATTTGGGATATTTTTGTTGCATTTGAGTTTCAAACACACTTGGACGATCAAGCTATACCACCCCTGTTCTATTGTACTGCTGGGTTTTTGTCTCTTTTTGCAGGTGTATGCGAACTCGATCGAGTCGGTCAACTGAAGACTTGGTCGAGCTAGACATTACAACGGGTAGAAAGAGGGTTCAGAGGTCACAGAGGGTACAAGAGGAACCTGAGGTGCTTGTTGCTGATACAATGGATGTACCAGAGGGGAATGGAAACCCTTTGGGCATGGACTCGGTCGAGCTAGGCAAACTCGACCGATTGGTCAAGGAGATGCTCCAAACCGCCACCAACAGAGACAAGGGATTGTTCCACCACCAGTGCAGAACCACAACTTTGAGATCAAGCTGGGAATGATCAACCTTGTCCAGAACAAGATGTTCCATGGATTGCCAAGTGAAGACCCCATTGACCACCTTGATGAGTTTGATAGGCTTTGTGATTTGACAAAGATCAATGGTGTCTCTGAAGATGCCATCAAGCTGAGACTCTTTCCTATGTCTCTAGCTGACAAAGCTCACCAATGGGAGAAGAGCTTGCCCCATGGCACAATCACCACTTGGGATGAATGCAAGAAGGCCTTTCTTGCTAAGTTTTTCTCCACCGGTCGCACAGCCAAGCTTAGAGGAGAGATATCCAGCTTCATCCAGCGAAACAATGAGACATTCGCAGAGGCTTGGGAGAGGTTCAAAGGCTACACAAGTCAGTGCCCACACCATGGATTCAACAATGAATCACTACTCTCCACTCTTTATAGAGGATGCTTGCCTAGGTATAGGGAGATGCTAGACACAGCTAGCAATGGGAACTTCCTCAACCAGGATGTAGATGATGGCTGGCAACTTGTGGAGAACATGGCCATATCAACAGAATGCTATGGAGAGCACTATGAAAGTACAGACTGGAGCTCGACCGCGCACTCGATCGAGCTGGACGCTCAGATGAGAAAAGACATGCTTGCACTCAACTCGAAGTTGGACAAACTGATCCTAGCCCAATTCCCTGCCAAGCATGTCAACTATGTCTCAGAACAAACCTTAGTCAAGGACCAGGAAGGGGAGGACAACACAAGAAGTTTGCTACATTCAAAATAGACAAGGAAGCTATAGGAATCCTCAACAAGGGCGATACAACAATTATCAAGCCCCCTGGCCGCACCAACAACAAAGTGTTCCACAAGGCTTCAACACAAGGACTACTCATACCCAACCAACTCAAGATTGGGATATGAAGGAAATGCTCCAACAACTTTTACAAGGGCAAGCCAAAGGTTCTCTGGAAATGAACAACAAGCTGGTTGAGATACACTCTAAACTAGAGTCATTGACTTCAAGAGTCCAAATCATTGAGTCTTCAAGTGCATCATCCTCTTCACCACAAGAGTATGCCCAAGCAGTTACACTAAGAAGTGGGAGGCAATTCCCTAGTAGAGGTAGCCCACCCCAAATCGCTGTGGACATCGATGACGAGGAAGGGGAGGATTTAGTCGACTATGCTGATAACTCGACCCCGAACTCGATCGAGCTGGAACAAAACCCTGAACCAGAACTCGATCGAGCTGGAGAAACTGAGACACTGCAAGACAAACCAGAGCTCGATCGAGCCAGAAGAGAGCAGACAAAGCAAACTCCAGCCAACCAGCTAAACCTGTTGCAAAGAAGAAAGACACTCCAGCAGGACCACCACCATACAAGCCCCCTCTGCCCTTTCCAGGAAGGTTCAAGAAACAACTGTTGGAAGCACACAAGGCCAAGTTTGATGAACTAATGAGACAGCTTGAGTTGAAGTTGCCCTTCATCGACGCCTTGATGCTCATTCCACCTTATCAGAAATTTCTGAAGGATGCTGTTCAGCAAAGAACCAGGGAAGCACAAGGGATGGTAGTGTTGACTCGCGAGTGCAGTGCAATCATTCAGCGGAAGGTCATCTCCGACAAAAAGGAAGATCCGGGGAGTTTCACTTTGCCCTGCATGTTAGGACCCCTATCTTTCAAAAACAGTCTCTGCGATCTAGGATCATCTGTCAGCCTCATGCCTTTGTCTGTAGCAAAGAGACTGGGATATCACAAGTACCAAGCCTGCGGAATCTCACTAGTCTTGGCAGATAGATCGATAAGGTTACCAACTGGGATGCTTGAAGACCTGCCTTTGAGGATAGGGAATGTGGAAATCCCCACAGACTTCATTGTGCTTGAGATGGATGAGGAACCAACAGATCCATTGATTCTAGGAAGGCCATTCCTAGCTACAGCAAGAGCAATGATAGATGTCTGTGAAGGAACAATTGAGTTAAACTTGGGAAAGGACCTGAAGATGAAGTTTGATATCAAGGATACAATGAGGAAACCAACTATAGAAGGTCAGCTCTTTTATGTTGAGGAAATGGATCAGTTGGCAGATGAGCTTCTAGAAGAGTTATCAACAGAGGATCCCTACAAGTTGCTTTGACCAAGGATTCTTCAGAGGGATATGTGAGCTCAGAAACTGATGAGTACAAGAAGCTCCTTGACACCTTCAGACCAGTTCCAAACATTCTGAGCATTGAGATTGGACAGGCCAGTTTGCGAAGTCATGGCAGTGAGCTCGATCAAGAACTCGATCGAGTCGAGTTTCGAACAAACGAACTCGATCGAGCTGGGGGCTGAGAGCAAGGAGCAAGCTCAAGGAGATTGGTCTGAGCTTAAGGCGCCTAAAGTCGACCTCAAACCTTTGCCTGAGGGCCTCAGGTATGCATTTCTGGGTGAAAACTCAACTTACCCTGTCATTGTGAACTCTGATTTGGAACCTGAACAGTTGAGTGCTTTGCTTGTTGAATTGAGAAAGTACAGAAAGGCAATAGGTTACACTCTAGATGATATCAAGGGGATCTCCCCTGACCTATGCATCCATAGGATTCATCTAGAGGATGAAAGTAAGTCAAGCATTGAACCTCAGAGAAGGTTGAACCCCAATCTAAAGGAAGTAGTGAAGAAAGAGATACTCAAGTTGCTTGATGCTGGGATAATCTATCCCATCAGTGATAGCACTTGGATATCTCCAGTTCATTGCGTCCCAAAGAAAGGGGGGATCACTGTCATTAAAAACGACAAAGAGGAGCTGATTCCCACTAGAACAATAGTGGGGCATCGCATGTGTATTGACTATAGGAAGCTAAATTCAGCATCTAGAAAGGATCATTTCCCTCTCCCTTTCATTGATCAGATGTTAGAAAGATTGGCAAACCACCCTTTTATTGTTTTCTTGATGGCTACAGTGGTTTCTTCCAAATCCCGATCCACCCTAATGATCAGGAGAAGACCACTTTCACATGCCCTTATGGCACCTTTGCTTATCGAAGGATGCCATTTGGGCTGTGCAATGCTCCAGCTACTTTCCAGAGGTGCATGACCTCCATTTTTTCAGATCTGATAGAGGAGATGGTAGAAGTCTTCATGGACGATTTCTCAGTCTATGGAGCATCCTTCTCCTCATGTTTGTCTAACTTGTGCAGGGTGTTGCAGAGGTGTGAGGAGACCAATCTAGTACTCAACTGGGAGAAGTGCCACTTCATGGTTCGAGAAGGGATTGTGCTTGGACACAAGATTTCCGAGAAAGGGATCGAGCTCGATCGAGCTAAGGTGGATGTCATGTTGCAGCTCCCTGTTCCCAAGACTGTGAAGGACATAAGGAGTTTTCTGGGTCACGCAGGGTTCTACAGAAGATTCATCAAGGATTTCTCAAAGATAGCAAGACCCTTGACAAGGCTTCTATGCAAGGAGACAGATTTTGAGTTTGATGAAGAATGCCACAAGTCTTGGACCTTGCTGAAGGATGCTCTGGTGTCTGCGCCAATAGTACAAGCTCCAAACTGGGATCACCCATTTGAGATTATGTGTGATGCATCTGACTATGCAGTAGGAGCAGTGCTTGGCCAAAAGATAGACAAGAAACTCAATGTCATCTACTATGCAAGCAAGACTATGGATGATGCTCAGTGCAAGTATGCAACCACAGAGAAGGAACTCCTTGCCATAGTCTTTGCCTTTGAGAAGTTTCGAAGCTATATAGTTGGATCCAAGGTGATTGTGCACACTGACCATGCTGCCCTTAGACACATCTTCGCTAAAAAGATACAAAGCCAAGACTTCTCAGATGGATCCTTTTGCTTCAAGAGTTTGATATAGAAGTTGTGGACAAAAAGGGAGTAGAAAATGGAGTTGCTGATCATCTCTCTAGGATGCGAGTTGAAGACATGATCCCCATCAATGATTCTATGCCTGAAGAACAGCTTATGGCAATCATGATCTTGAAGGAGAGTTTTGATGAGAAAGCCAGGCTGGAAGAAGTTAAGGCTCTGCGTGATGAGAATTTGCCATGGTATGCTGATATAGTGAACTTCATGGTGTCCGGAGAAGTCCCTAGTAGCTTTGATGCTTACAAGAGAAGAAATTCTTCAAGGATGCTAGGCATTACTATTGGGATGAGCCCTACCTGTACAAGAGAGGACCAGACAGCATTTACAGGAGATGCATTGCTGAAGAGGATGTGCAAGGAGTTCTAGAGCATTGCCATGGGTCAGCTTATGGAGGTCACTTTGCTACATTCAAAACAGCAACTAAGGTTTTGCAATCGGGTTTATGGTGGCCTACTTTGTTTAAGGATGCAGCAGACTACATTGCCAAGTGTGATCCATGCCAAAGGAAAGGAGGGATCACCAAGAGGGACGAGATGCCACTAAACCCAATTCTAGAGGTTGAGATTTTGATGTATGGGGAATAGACTTCATGGGACCTTTCAAACCCTCTTCAAACGGGCACAACTACATTTTGGTTGCTGTAGACTATGTATCCAAATGGATTGAAGCCATTCCCTGCCCAACCTGTGACGCCAAGGTGGTTGTCAAGCTTTTCAGAACCATCATCTTTCCAAGGTTCGGCATCCCAAGGGTTGTTATTTCAGATGGAGGCTCCCATTTCATCAACAAGGTGTTTGAAAAGTTGATGAGAAGCCATGGAGTCAAAACACAAGGTCGCCACGCCTTATCACCCTCAAACCAGTGGGCAAGTTGAAGTCTCCAACAGACAGATCAAGGCCATATTGGAGAAGACTGTGAGCTTCACTAGGAAAGACTGGGCAGCAAGGCTTGATGAGGCACTTTGGGCTTATAGAACAGCCTACAAAACCCCCATTGGAAGGTCTCCTTTCAATTTGCTGTATGGGAAGGACTGCCACTTACCTGTGGAGGTCGAATATAAGGCTTTATGGGCAGTAAAGATGCTGAACTTTGATATAAAGGCAGCACAAGAAAGGAGGGTAATGAACTTGTTTGAGCTGGAGGAGATAAGAATGAATGCCTATGAGAACTCTAGGATTTACAAGATGAGAACCAAGGCAGCCCACGACAAACTGATTCGCCTTAAGGACTTCAAGGTTGGGGACAGTGTGCTCTTGTATAACTCCAAGCTAAGGTTGTTTCCCGGGAAGCTGAGGTCAAAGTGGGCGGGACCATTCAAGATTCACGAAGTTCTACCCTATGGGTCCCTCACTTTGCTCAATCAAGAGGGGAAGGAATTCACAGTGAATGGACATAGATGCAAGCCATATCTAGGAATGACCCCCACAGAGGAGATCATCACTCCTCTAGAAGATCCAACCCCGGCCTAAAAAGGGGTAAGGTCAAGCTAAGAGACCTAAAACAAGCTCACTTGGGAGGAATTCCCATGTCTATCTTATGCATTTATACTTTATCCTTTTATTTTATGATTTTTCTTGGCTGAGTCTCACAGGAGCAGGTTTTAGGAAGACGAGTGGCAACTCGAAGCACAACTCGATCGAGTGAGATCGAGTGAGCCGAACCCAGTTGAGTGGAGCGCTCCTGATGGCCGTCTACCATCTCCAGACCACGACCTAGCCTCCCAGTTCTTGGGAAAGGGTTGATAGCCTCCACCTTGGGAAAGGGTTGGCTAGGCATTGAGAAGCCCAATATCAAGAGAAGCCTTGATACAAGGAGTTTTAAGAGCTAGAATGATTAAGTGTAGATTCCTTTGGTCGCAAAACCCTGTCTTGAACCCTAATTCTCTCTTTATCTTGTTAAAGTTGTCACCTTTACTGTCTTTTCCGCTAACTCGACCCACAACTCGATCGAGCTCGGTGCTCTGTCCCAACTCGACTTGAGTCCCTGGTCGAGCTACTTATTTACCTGCTTTGTTTACTTTCATCGCACTGCATTTTCATTTCTTAGGTTGTTAGTGTTACTTAAAACCTATAACTGCTTACTTGACTTTCTAGTTGTTTCATATTCTCATAGAGTGACAAGATTTCCCACTTTGGATTGATAACCTCTTATACATCAATGAATATGATGGTTAAGAGGAATTGTTGATTGTGTTTGCACCATTCCATTTCATCATTATTCACCCCTGTTTGCATTCCACCTCATATCTTATCACCCTTCATTCATATCACACACACGTAAAACCTATATCATCAAGGGCTAGAGTTGAGAAACCACGATCTGATAGGCCAAGAGCTGAGAGACTTGTTCAAGCCCCTTGTGTGCTTGATGAAGAGAGCCTTCAAGCTTTGTTTGATGAGCCACTAGGAAGGGCTCTACAAGAAGGGGAGGATGCAGCCTCTAAGGCAAGACCAGGAGATAAAAGAAAGGATCCACCAGCTCAGGCCCCTTCAGTCAAGCCATCTCAGCTCACAATGACTTTGTTCCCCACCAAGTTTGAAAATGGGAAGATTGAGTACAAGATAAGGTACAAGGGGAGATCAAGGCCATTCTCTAGAGCCAAGGCCTTGGTGACTTCAGAACAGTCCAGGGACCCAACCAAGCTAAAGGAGCTTCTGTCTCAAGTCCTCACTATCACCCTTGATGGTGGGACTAGCTCAACCAATGCCTAAGAAGGTAAAGGTCAAGCTATGGGACCTTAAACAAGCTCACTTGGGAGGAAGTCCCATGTTTATCCTTGTACATACTCTATTTATGCAATTTCTATCTATCTTTATGTTTTTAACCTTTGAATAAGTTAAGTTTAGGTGTCAAAGGAGCCAGCTCGACCGATAGCTCGATCGAGCTAGAAACCAGGGCAACTCGATCGAGCTACACAACTCGACCGAGGTAAGTTTTTGAATTTCAAATTCATAACCGTTTTCTTGGTCAAGGGAGTGGGTCCCACAAGCTGATTTTGGTCCCCCACTACCCTAATTTGATCAGAGAATCCCTAGCTTCTTGTTCCCTCTTTATTTCATCTTTTAATCTCAACCACACATCTCAAACACCCCTCTTCCCCATAACTCGATCGAATCCACCTCTCTCTCTCCCACACTTAAAATTTCTGAAACTCATCCTCTCTCTCTTCACCACAAGAAATTTCGATTTTCAATCTTTCTCTCTTAAGTTTTTGCGATTTCTCTTGTTCTTCATTGTTTTGCTTGGGTTTTGTTTACTGCTCTTCAATTCCATCATTCAACAAGGTATGAACCCTAAACCCTTGATTCTCCATCTCGATTTCAACTATTGCTTGTTTCCTTTGATTTTTGATTGCATGTGTCCCTTGTGGACTTGTTCTTGAGTAATTGCTCATATTTCGCCTCTGCTGTATAATCTTGTTAGTTTGTTTCACCTCACCTCTGTTTTGCCTTTAAACTTGTTGCATGTGCTTGAAAATTGAATTTGAGTTTGGTTTTGGTTAAGATGCTTAGTACTTCTCATAGTTGCTCATTGTTCTTGGTTCAATTTGATTGATTAGCATCCTTTTCCAGCTCTTAATCTTGAATTAGGTTTGGTTATACTCTGTTTTCACCCAACTCGATCGAGTTTGTCACTCGAGTTTTTTGACTCGATCGAGCTGAGTGTCGAGTTGACCAAACCGATCATTACAACTCTAATTCTTTGTAATCTTTGATGCATTTCAGGTACTTTAGTGAAGAAACAGAGTAACAAGGATGACAAACAGTGAGGGAAGCCGCGCTTCACAGAGGAGAATGGTTGAGGGTGAATCAAGCAATGCAAGAGAGAAAGGCTTAAGATGCAAGCCGATTTGAGAGGATGGATCAGAGGATGGAAGTCTGATGCAGAGGAGTATGTCTACTCTGAGGAACAGTCTGAGAGTGAGAGGTGAGGGAAGAAAGGAGAACCAAGAAGAGGAATGACCCTATAGTAGTGAGAGTGAGCAAGGAGAGTTTGAGATTGGAGTGAACCTTGTTCAAGAGGGGGAAATGGCTCTCCAAATGAGGAAGGAGTGAGGAAACTGAGAGTGATGAGGAAGGAGAAGAGGTGAACCAATTGGTTGATGAAGATGACAAGAGGGAACCAAGATGAGCCAATGGAAGAGGCTGAGGCAGAGCAAGAGGAGGATGAGCTCCCCATGTACCAAGAGCACTACAATGCTCTCTTCTCCATGGACTTTGTGGAGACCAAGTACCCACATGATGACACATGAGAGATCTTGGATCTTTGAGGATGTGGAGTTGGTGCTCAAGAACATGCAATTGGGGAAGTTCTTCTCTCACCGCATGGAGTCTTACAAGGAGCTCACTTGTGAGTTTTTGGCGTCGATGAAGCATCACGAGTTTGATGAGCTCGATCGAGCTGAGTTGGACCGGCTGGGGGTACATAACTTTCTAGCAAAGGGAGAGAAGAAGATGGTGACCTTTAGGCAGCTTGAGATACTGTTTGGGTTCACCTATGGAGAAGGTAACCATGGAACATCAAGGAAGAACTCCAAAGAGTATGGGCTACAATAGCTGAAGAGGGGTACTCTTCCTCAAGGTCCAAGGCTGCCCAGATCAGAAGCCCAGTGCTTAGATATGTCCACAAGGCTCTTGCCAACACCTTCTTTGCAAGGAAAGCCACTGGAACAATCAATGAGGGAGAAGTGAAGCTCCTTGACATGGGAATCAAGCCCATCATCTCACGCACAAGGATGGGAAGAAGATCAGAGGAGATAGGGCACACGCAGGGAATCTCATGCCTCTCCTTGAGCAGCTCCAAGCCTACAAGGTCACAGCTTACAACACTAGGCACCAAAGAGGAAGAAAGCTTAGTGTTGGAGGGTGATCACACCAATTCTTTGTGCAGCAGGAGTTCAAGTGGACAAGAGAAGGTCTACTCCACCAGGTTGGATGGACATCAAGTTTTGCAAGACCAACCTCCTCATTGAGCACAAGGAGTTGGATGGGAGATTCCAATTCAAGTTCACACATCCATTGGCTGGACCCTCCAAGCTTCTTCTGCCCAACCCTGAGCTCACCACGGTCCTAGGAGGTACAAACATTGACTTCAGACCCCCTGTGTACACTTTGGTTGGGCATGAAGCGGATTTGCAAGAAGAAGAGATCGAGCTCGATCGAGCTGAGTCGAGCTGAAGATGAGTGCAGGAGAACGCTGATTTGGGTGAGCCTGAGTGCTATTACTTTGAGGAGTATGAGGCTCCAAGGATGAACCCCTCTGTTGTGGCTGCCCACAAGAGGATTGGACTTCTCCAAAAGTTCAACAAGTGGCAAGGGAAAGCCATGGAAGATGCAAAAGTCCATGGACAAGATGGTGAGCAAGATCAAAAGTTTGGAGAAGAAGGTTTCTGGTTCTTCAAGCAAGAAGAAGAAGTCCCCAAGGCTCCCACTTTCCCTAGGAGTAGGTCACTCCTCACCACTCAAAGGAGGCTCTCCCCAAGAGCCTCACAGAGCCTCTTCTTTCGAGCCAAGGGAAGGAGAAGACAACACGCAGAGAAGGAGGAAGACTTCCAAGGCCAGACGCTCCAGCTCGACCACCGGACTCGATCGAGTCCAAACAGAGGAAACTCAACTCGATCGAGCTGACGGTCGAGTTGACCTGGAGGAGCCCCAGTTTGAGAATCCGGGATTTGAGTACGATCCCAGCCTACCAGGACTCCCAGTAGATGGAACCCCTATGGACAGTTCGAGCACCAAGCTCCACCAAGGCCAAGGAAGCCACACACATTTCAAGATGAAGAAGAGGAGGAAGAGGAGCCACAAGCTCGATCGAGTGAGCCAAGAGGCAACCCCAGTTGCATGGAGCGCTCCTGATGGCCGTCTCCCATCTCCAGACCACGACCTAGTCTCCCAGTTCTTTGGGGGGCACTGAGGTATCCAAACACCAACCCTTGTATATACCATTTCATATTTTCTTGCATTTGTTCTTGTTTTTTCTTGGTTTTGCCCTCTTGAATCTTTCACTAAATTTTTCTCACACAAGGGACTGTGTGATTTAAGTTTGGGGGAGGGTTCAAGAGATGATTTAACCTTGTTTTCTTTGTTCTTAGTTTTTCATTTATCTTTTGCATAGAAAAACCAAAAAAATCATAAAATTTTCAAAAAATCCAAAAATATTTTCATCTTTTTGCATTCATATTTGTTAGACTTGTTTAGGATTGCATTTTTCACTTGCATTGTTGATTTGACTTTGAAAACTTGTCCATCTTTTGCGATTTCTTGAGTGCCCTGTTTTTAGATTCTTTTGTGCATTAGGGTGAGATTGATTGAGCAGCAAGAACCATGTTTATCTTGATCATATCACTGCATGCACATCTCATTCAACCATTGCTGTGATTTGATGCATTTCCCTATCTATTTGAACCATAACTTGATCTTTAATTACCAATGCTTGCATTTGATTTCAACTCATGGCTACCACATACATATCTGGACATTCTTTACCTATTTTCATATCCCTTTTGCTTGTCCAGATAGCTGATCTCTATCTTTGAGACAGTTACCACACCTTAAACCTAAGCCTTTTCATTTCAAACCCCATTATTATCTCTTGTGCGAATGTGAGAACCTTTCTTGGCTTTGCTTAGCATAAGGTGTTGTGTTTAAACCGGCAGGGGCAGTAGTTCTAGTTGTCTAGTTCTCTTGGGATTGTTTTCAGGCTAAGTTTGGGGGTGCCAACTCGAGCTCGATCGAGTTGGGTGTAAAAACCAGAAAAGTGGTAAAAGTTGGGAAAAACCCAAAGGAAAAAGAGTTTGGTTAAGTCCAGGGAGTTGGCAGTGTTAAAAAGGGTCTAGTAAAGGTTTGGGAAGTTAAAAAAGGAAAGTAAAAAGGGTTCTAAGTAGAATGAAAAGAAGGCAAAGCCTCAAGTGTCCAAAAAGGAAAGAAAAGTTCCCTAAGTGTTTAGAAAATCCCAAACCGCTAGATGTTACCTCAAGAAGCCTCTCCCTAGGAAGTTCTTAAAAGAAAAGTGAGCAAAGCTCCTCAGTTTCAAAGGCGAAATGCCAAAAAGGGTAGTTAGGATTTTGTTCTAAAAAGCTCTAAGTGTTGAACTCGATCGAGTTAGGATTAGGCGGCTCGAGCTGCTGTTCTTGCATCATCTTTGGTTCTAACACTTAGCCTTCTGCCAAAGCAAAGCCACTTTCTTGAGAGATCCCTGTTACTAAACCACCATACAAAAGAGACCCTCTTTGTCTCTTAACCCATAAACCCTTGAAACCAAATGAGTTGATTGATCTTGCATGTTTTTGGTTCACTGTTTTTGCTTAATGAATGTTAAAGGGATTTGCTGATTTGAATGCATTGTTTGAGTGACTGTGAAGTGGGATTGATGTTGATAAGCATGGTTAAATCTTAATGAATATCTCTCACCTTGTTGCATTCTAGAATCTCTAAGTTGGACATTTAGCAAATCGCTTTTGAGGACATGTTTTTAAGTGTTGAATCAGCTATTTTCAAACCTCATCTCTTTCTTGTTCTATTTGTTTGCTTGAGGGCAAGCAAAGTTCAAGTTTGGGGGTGTTGATGTACTTGCATTTTACATAGTTTTAGCACATCTTTTATGCATCTTTTGCATAGTTTTAGCTTCCATTTGCATCATATCTTGTTCCTTTTCTCTTCTTATGCATTCATGTTAGTTTTAGGTTGCATTTGCATACATATGCATGTTTGGTCCTTTGAAATAGGTCTTTTGGAGCATTCTGGAGCATATGGGACATGAGGAGCATGGAGGGACTTGGCACATGGAAGCAGCTCAACTGGATACGCAAAGGAAGAAGGGAGAAGCCATCTTGAAGACCAGCTCGACCGTCTACTCGACCAACCGGTCGAGTTCCTCAACTCGACCGGCCAAGCTTCAACTCGATCGAGCTGGAAGTCAAAGTCAAACCCGAAAAATGTTGCTTCCCCCTTGACTTTCCTTTGACCCTAAACCTAATCCTCTTTGTATTTAAAGGCTCTAAGCCACGAAAAAACCACCAAGCTTTAGATTATTTTGTTTTAGTTTCTTTTAATTTATTGTCTTTTACTTTTTAGAGATCTAATCCATCTTTGTGTTCTTGAAGCTCTTGCTTCTTGAATCCTAGATCCTGGATAATCTCTCTTGTATTTGCACTTGCTTATTTCAATAAAAGTTGTTTAATTTCATCTCCTCTTTCTTATGATGTCTCTTTTATTGCATTTGCTTGTGTTTACATTCATGTGTAGTGAGTAGTTACCCATTGGGTTTGAGATGGGATAGATTAGAGGTTTCATATGCTTAATCCTTCTAGCTTATGGTCTTAATCTAGATTCTCTCTCTTTTGGATAGATCTTAAGGCTACATGACCACTACCCCTGGCTTGTAAGTCCTTAGGCGACTCCCCACACGAAAGTGATGGCATTCGCTGGAAAAGATCCACTAAGAGCTCCAATATCTCTTGCTCTAGACATAGAGGTCTAAGGGGTTGGATGGATTAGTTTGGGCAATGATCCTATAGCCTCCAAGGTTTGATTCTCACTGGCTAACCCCCTGTTTCTGAGATCATTCCTTGGTTGATAGCCTCCACCTTGGGAAAGGGTTGGCTAGGCATTGAGAAGCCCAATATCAAGAGAAGCCTTGATACAAGGAGTTTTAAGAGCTAGATTGATTAAGTGTAGATTCCTTTGATTGCAAAACCCTGTCTTGAACCCTAATTCTCTCTTTATCTTGTTAAAGTCGTCACCTTTAGCTTTGTTTGTCTCAACTCGTCCCTAAACTCGATCGAGCTGGTACTTTGCTCTGACTCGACTCGAGCTCTTGGTCGAGCTGACACTTCACTGCTTTGTTTACTTTTATTGCACTGCTTTTCATTTTTTTAGGTTGTTAGTGTTACTTCAAATCTATAACTGCTTGCTTGACTTTCTGGTTGTTTCATATTCTCAAAGAGTGACAAGTTTCCCATTTTGGATTGATAACCTCTTATACTTCAATGACTATGATGGTTAAGAGGAATTGATTGATTGTGATTGCACCATACCATTCATCTTTATTCACCCTGTTTGCATTCCACCTCATTTCATATCATCATATTATCACATCCACATAAAATCCTATTATCAAAGCTTCATGTTGCGGCCAGACCTAGGTTTTCTAACCTTCTTCTTGGCTTGGCCTCATCTTCAATCTTGGTTGATCCCTTGGGCGGTTTTGGTGTAGGGGCCTTAGTCTTACTCCTTGCTTGTTTGGCAAGCTGCTTGGGCTTAGGAATGGGATCTTCCTTGATTGTTTCTTCAGTTTCTCCTTCTTGGGGTGGCTTCAAAGTAACTTTCTCCTCTTGGACCATGTCAACAAAAGAGTTCTTTGTTGAACACATAGGGAAGAACATACCCTTGTTCACCTTGTTGAAAGAGATTCTTTGATTGGGGAAATCAAATATGGCACCCACAGTAGACAGGAAAGGGGTTCCAAATATGAGAGGTCTATGGCTACTCTCTCTCATTTCCACAATCTGGAAATCAGTAGGGATAGAGCAATTTCCAATCTGCACCATCACATTAGGCACAAAGCCATAGGGGTTTGTGAGAATGAATCAGCATAGTTGATGGAGATGGATGATGGCTCTATCTTGGTGAGGCCTATCTTGTCAGCTATCCTCTTAGACATGATGTTCACATTGGCTCCTGTGTCACACAAAGATTGCTCAAGAATGTTACCTTTGATGATACAAGGCACACAAACTTTCCTGAGTTATCTGTCTTGGGGATAATCTTTGGGAAGAGTCTTCTCTTTCTAGCTCGATTGGACTCTCTCTCTGGGTAATTCTCTTCAGGCCAAATCATGCAATCAACAGTAGGTTTTGAAAGCATCCATTCTGGAACTTGGTCTTCAAATCTTTCTTCTATGGCGGCTGAGTTGCAAAAGGACTTCTTGGATTCAGCTTCCTGTCTCTTAACAGCTTCCATAGTTTGAGTGACTTGAGTCTCTAGTTTCTTCACATGAGTGGCAACAGCATCATACTTGGTGTTGAGATTGCTGAACAAAGTGTCCATCTTCTCATACATCTCTTTGTGTTCTCTTCTGGCCATCCATGATCTGTTGGAGGATTCCTTCAAATCTCCCACCTTGTTGGTTTGGAGGAGCTTGATTTGGTGAAGAAGCATATGGCTCCTTGGGCGGATATGATGATCTCTGCTCATATCCTTGCCTTGGCTGAAATTGACTTCCTTGAGATTGGTAAGGAGGTCTTTGTTGTTGTGGATACCTTGGAGGATACACTTGGTCTTGAGGATTCTCCACATTGGGGTTTCTATAAGACATGTTGGGGTTTGGGCGATAGCTTGGATTGTATCCCTTGTTCCCATAGTTTCCAATGTAGTTCACATCTTCTTCATTGGCTTCATTAGAGAAATCTCCCATGCATTCTCTTGATGGGTCTTCATTAGCATCACTCATCCCTTCTATTGCATTGATATGCTTGAGCTGTCCCTTAAGAACTTGAGCCATCATGTTCTTGAGTTCAGTCATTTGAAAAGAATCAGGGGAGCTAGTAGTGGTGCGGCTTGAGCGGTCATAATCAGGACAGTTGTTACAATCACTAGCTGCAAGATTCTCAATAAGAACCTTAGCTTCATCAACAGTCTTGGTCATGAAGTTTCCATTGCTTGCAGTGTCCAATGAAAGCTTGTACTTGTGGTCTATGCCACGATAGAAGATGTTCCATAGGTTTCCCTCATTGAAACCATGATTAGGGCAGTCCCTAATGTACTCCTTGAATCGGTCTAGCGCCTCATAGAAAGATTCATTGTTGGCTTGGCGAAAGTTGGAGATCTTGTTCCTTACAGAAATTGATCTTTGCTTGGTGTAGAAGTGGTTGATGAAAGCAGCCTTGTACTCATCCCAAGTGGTGATGGAGTGAGCTGGCAGAGACTTCAACCATCTTGAAGCTTTGTCGCCAAGAGAGAATGAAAAGAGCTTGCACTTAAGGTAGTCAGCAGAGACTCCATTGGATCTTGTAGTGCTGCAAATTTCTTCAAAGTTTTCTATGTGATCAAGAGGATGCTCAGCTGGAAGGCCATTGAATTGGTTCTGTCTAACCAATGCTATGATCTGAGGCTTGATCTCATAGTCATTCCTTGCAGGAAGTGGTGGATGGATAGGGTTTCTATCCATGAAGAAAGCATCGGCAGAGTCATAGTCTCCGATTGTAGGTGCTCCAGCTTGAGGTTGCACATTCACATCTCCAGCAGGGTCTTGTGGATTAGGAGGAGGAGGAGGTGGATCTCTTCCTTCTTCATTGAGCGCGCGCCACTTCAGCGGCGTGAGCGCGAGCTGCTTCGTCGGCCATCTCTTGGGCTTTTTGCTTCCTAAGTTGCTTCTCAAGCTTGTCTATCTCTGGATGTTCAACTAGGTTGTCCTTGTTGGACCTCCTAGTCATGCACCTGAAAAGAGTCTAAAGTTAAATCAAAAGGGAAAAACAAAAACAAAAGCAAAAATCAAAGAAAAGAAATCAAAAACTAAAAATTCAAAAGCAAAAGAAAGCAAAACAGGAAAAGGTTCTAGACTAGATCCTAGTCGAGTTCCAAAGGTACTGCTGCAGTCCCCGGCAACGGCGCCAAAAACTTGATGTGGAGTCAGGTTTTACCAAACTCCTAGACCTCTGCAAGTGCACAGATCGCGGAAGTATGGGTATCGAACACAAGGACTGGCTATTGAGTACACTTTGAAACTATGGATTTTGGATCAAGCTAAAACAAAAGTATGATTGAGGTTGTAATGGTGAACCGAACTAGCAAGTATAACGAGGTTGTAAATCAATAAAGGAAAAGCGCTAGGTCATAGGGGCTAATCGCAGAGAAGCAAGCAATGATCAATGAAACAATGATAGATGAATTGATTAGGGATATTGGGATATTAAGAACCGTCTAGAACACAGATCACGAATATAAAACCATTCCACTTTCGAGGCTCCGGCTCCTTTGTTAATCTACCTAGTCGCTAAACTTTTGGTATGTCCCTAGGTGATTAAATCAAGCTTTAGAATGAATAGGTTCTGATACAGTTCACTAGATTATAGTAGATCAACTTTCGCAGTCTAAGAAACCTAGCTTGTCAAAGAATATGTCCGGCGAATGATACAACACTGTCGAGGCTCAAATCAACCTAAGATCGGATTACTAGATGCGCGGTAAAGCAATCAGCATTAGTTAAGTGCACAAGACGAGACAAAGACTCTATATAATCCCTAGCTAATCATCGAAATCAAAGATCATGCAAGCAACTCATTGATTAGTAACCCTAGCAACCTAACTAGTGGATTACTCAGACATGATCAAAGCAAACACACATAGAGATGAAGAAAACATGATTGCAATAAAACTTAGAGTAGGAAATCGAAATACAAGGGCGGCTCTCTTTTCACAAGAGGCTAAAAAGCTATATATATAGTGCTAGGTCTTTAGAGGCGGCTTAGGGTTAAGCCGGGCTTGAAAAATATGTGAAACGGGCTTCAAAACGGGCTTCGGGTCGACCGCGGCGTTGGGACGGTCGGTCGGGACGATCGGCATGGCCGCTCCTAGAGTCGGAACGGTCGTGGCCGGACGGATTCGTGGTCGGCCGCTGTGGTCGGACGGATGAAGATTTGGCCGATGAATTCTCGGCCGGACGCGGGACGTAGTTCCCGGCTCGGACGGCGCCATCGGCCGTGGTACGCGAGACAGGTTGCGCGGCCGCGAGGCTTGTTTCCCGGCTCGCGCGGCATGGTCGTGTGCATGGAGCGGCTTGAAGTGCAAATCCTATGGTTTTGCTCCAAAGTGCATCATTTCACCTGTTTAGACTCTAGACACTATAAACATAGTAAAACTACCATTTTAGATAGGAAACCTGCCAAAAACCATTAGAAAACAATACTAAAATAGTATAAAAAGCATGTAAAATAGAGGTATATCAACCACCATCGTCACGGAGATCGTGGACACGTAGTCGACGATAGGTCTGATCGCAGATGAGAAATATGATTCAAATCGGATTTACCGGAGTTCACATGAACTATTTGTGGAGAAGAATTGATTGATTGGATCGTCACAGTTGAAGAGATACTAGAGTTTAAAAAAGTCCCTGCCAATCGACAAGTTGCTCTTGTTGCAACAAAATTCAGAGGACAACCAGCTGCATGGTGGTTATAGTTGAAGTCGAATCGAGCTCGCACCGGAAAAAAAAAAATCGTTTCATGGGACAAACGTATGAAGCAATTGAAGAAGACTTTTCTTCCTTATAACTGTGACCAGACCATGTTTACCAGGTTGCAGAATTTACGTCAAGTATCCCGTACCGTAGACGAATATGCCGAGGAATTTTATTTGTTGATGACACGTAATGAGATCCATGACAGTCAACTTCAGCTTGTAGCTCGCTTTATTGGAGGATTAAGACCTCATCTACAAAATGAATTATATCAATTTGACACAAACACAAGTCCTGAAGCTCATCGACGTGCTGCTAGGTTTGAGAAACAAGTTTGCTCTGTGCCTAGTATTTGGAATTCTTCTTCAAGACAACGTGGTACAACGTTCCAAGATCAAAACTCGAATCAAGGGGCTATATTTTTATCTTTAGATTCAACCAATACGTCCCGTCCTCCTGCTTCTAGTCGTCCACCATTGCCAACAGAATACCAAACTCTCCGCTGTTCTTCACGTCCTAATGATTTACGCTGTTTCTCTTGTGGTGAACTCGGACATACAAACAGCTAGCAAAAAACAGACCAGACGTGGTCTTTTGAGTGAAGAGACTGAACCTGAATATGATGAATTTCTTGAAGAAATCTATGCTGTGGATACTAACGAAACCACTGAGCTTAGTTGTGATCACGGTACTCTCTTGGTCACTCGCCTCATCTGTTTGGTTCCTCCATAGACGCCGGAAGAACGTTGGCTTCGCTCAAATATTTTTCAGTCAACTTGAACCGTGAAAGTAAAAATTTGTAGCTTTATTGTTGATTCAGGAAGCAAGAGCAATCTAGTCTCCGACTATTCAGTGAGAAAATTAGAACTTGAGAATGAAGCTCATCCTAAACCATACAAGTTAACATAGTTGAAATCAGGAATAAATGTTCGTATTACACGCCGCACACTTGTCTCCTTCTCTATTGAATTCGGACACATACAAACAGCTTGCAGAAAGCAGACCAGACGTGGTCTTTTGAGTGAAGAGATTGAACCTTAATATGAGGAATTTTTTGAAGAAAGCTCTGTTCTGGATACTAACGACAACACTGAGCTTAGTGGTAATCACGGTACTCTCTTGGTCACTCGCCTTATCTATTTGGCTCCTCCGTAGACGTTGGAAGAACCTTCGCTTCGCTCAAATATTTTTCAGTCAACTTGAACCGTGAAAGGCAAAATTTGTACTTTTATTGTTGATTGAGGAAGCAGCAGCAATCTAGTCTCCGACTTTGCAATGAGAAAATTAGGACTTGAGAAAGAAGCTCATCCTAAACCATAAAAGTTAACATGGTTGAAGTCAGAAATCGATGTTCGAGTTACACTGATGTACTTGCATTTTGCATGGTTTTAGTACATCTTTATGCATCTTTTGCATAGTTTTAGCATCCATTAGCATCATATCTTGTTCGTTTTCCCTTCTAATGCATTCATAGTAGTTTTAGGTTGCATTTGCATACATATGCATGTTTGGTCCTTTAAATAGGTCTTTTTGGAGCACTTTGGAGCTTTTGGGACGTGAGGAGCAAGGAAGGACTTGGTGCATGGATTAAGCTCAACCGGACATGATTGGGACGAAGGAAGAAGCCATCTTGAGAAACTCGACCGGCCAAGTTCCAACTTGATCGAGCTGAAGAGTCAACAGTCAAACCCGAAAAATGTTGCTTCCCCTTTGACTTCCCTTTGACCCTAAACCTAATCTCTCTTGTATTTAAAGGCTCTAAGCCACGAAAAAGACAACAATCTTTAGCTTATTTTTTTTTTAGCTTTTCTTTAATTCTTGTAATTTACTTTTGCAACTCTTAAGCCTCTCTTTGTGTTCTTGAGCTTCATGCTCTTTGCACTTGCATATATTTCAATAAAAGTTCTTTAGTTTCATCTCCTCTTTCATTTAATGTCGATTTCATTGCATTTGATTGTGTTTTCATTCATGTGTAGTGAGTAGTTCCTTTAGGGTTTAAGATGGGCTAGATTAGAGGATCCTTATGCTTAATCTCTATTGCTTATGTCTTAATCTAGAAATCTCTCTCTTTTGGACAAACCTTAAGGCTACATGACCACTACCCCTGGCTTGTATGAGTCTAGGCGATTTTCCACATGGAAGTGTTGGAAATCGCTTGAAAAGGTCCACTAAGAGCTCCAATAAACCTTGCTCTCGAAATGGAGTTCATAGGTGTTGGATGGATTAGTTTGAGCAATGATCCTACTGCCTCCAAGGCTTGACTCTCACTGGCTAACCCCCTGTTTCTGAGATCTTGCCTTGGATGATAGCTTTCACCTTGGGAAAGGGCTAGCTAGGCATTGAGAAGCTCAATATCAAGAGATACCTTGATACAAGTTGTTTAAGAGCAAGATTTATTAAGTATAGTCTTCCCCTAGTTATAAGACACTGTGTTAGACCCTAGTATTCGCATTAGCTTCTTAAAGTTCCTGCCTTTATTGCTTTTACTCTGTTTTTACGTCAACTCGACCCTCAACTTGATCGAGCCCAGTTACTCTGTTCTACTCGATCGAGCCTGATATATCCATATCTTTCATGTTTTTACCAAGGTTTTCACTATGTTTTCAATACAAATAATGTGGTTTTTAAGCCCAAGAGGTAGTTTTCTTGTATATTCTGGTTTTGAGCATCATTCAGGTCAAAATAGCAAAGAAGAGTCAAAATGGAGCAAAAGGAGTCAAATCACCAAGTTCCCAAGTCTAGAGCACCAAAATCTACATTTCTCGCTAAAGACCAAACCGGAGCATCCGAAGTACGACCGCATATTCATGCCTTCCCGACGTCCAAAAGTCATGATTCTTATATGGAAAGATAGATATTTGAGTCATGACCCGCGGCGAAGTGGAAAGAGGTCATTTGGATCACTCGTTGGACCGGAACTTATTTTCTACCAAGACATGTCCGACGAGCGCCTAAGTAGAGCCCATGGAGACTTTGATGGATCAAGAGGCCCGAGCCGCGCCCAAGGCCTTGGCTCGTCTTGAACAGCATAACTCAATCCAGAAGCTTCCATTGGCCTGAACTCGGCCCATTCAAGAACTTGGAGAGCAAGCTCAAGCGGCTAAAGAGAAATGGAAACTTTCCTCTTCTGGCGCGCTCAACTTTGCCGACCTAGACCCGCTCTCTACCTATATATACTTGCTTTTAGCCTCTTGTAATAAGAATCACCAGCCGAGACATAACAAGAAACATTATTCAATAAAGTTCGGAGCCACTTAGGTGGTCTCCTTCTTCTTTCTTTTCTTCTTTTGCATTTGTATATAGCTTGCATGTTTCAATTTATATAGTCTAGAAGTAGAGATTTCTCCCTAAGGGTGAGTGCGGTTTAGACTCATATTCCGCCGCCTCTCTCTCTAAGGATTCATGAGACTTCATCTACTATCTATGACTCATTGTTGAATTATGGATCCTTCCAATGAGGACGTGATATAATGGCCATCGAAAATCGATTGTTAAAAGGGGAAACCCTATGGTTCTCCATCTTTATTTATGCTTAATGCCTGTTGCTAGAGTAGCTAACTAGTGACTTGATTTTAGGTTGATATACTCTCCAAAAGCTTGTTATATCTCCGGATATAGTATTTGATGGGCAAATCGTTTTAGGCTACGAAAGTAGACCTAAAGAGTTTTGTGAACAATCATTACTTGGATGTAATGCATGTCTCACTCTACAATGACCAACGAAAGCTGAGCCCATTGGTTTAAGAGACATAGGGGATTGGAACCACGAAAGTGGAATAATCCTTCCTTAGTGTTTTGAGTTCAAAAGAATCGGATTTTAACAAACTTTTCAATCGACTTGGCTCATGTTTTCAAAAGAGTTTTCAATAGTTCAATAATGTTGCTTGTATAGAATTGCATTGTTATTTCTTTTCGTGTTCTCAACAAACACAAACCCTTGCATCTTTGATTTAGCTTAGATCATTTAAACTCTATGATTATGTAATGTGTGAAATCCAATCCCTTGTGGTTCGACCCCTAAATACTACAATTATATGTTGTGCACTTGCAACACTAGTTGTCTTAGGGAATTATTACTTGTACTCATCCCATAGATGCCGCATCAAGTTTTTGGCGCCGTTGCCGGGGATTGCATCATAAACACTTGCATAGTCTTGTTTAAAACTAAGTCTAGATCTTGGTATTTTCGAATACTAACTTTTTCTTTTAATCTTGTGTTTATAGGTACTTGGAGATGAATCACAACACCAACATCCACTTTGGGAACCGGACACTGATCCCACACGATCTCCACGGCCGGAGTTACCAAGACCCAGCCGTAACATCGTGCCACATCCGTTCCCTCCCAACCGCGCTCATCCGACGTTTGAAGGACCTAGCCGAGACGAGCATCATTACCATCATCATCAAAACCGACCTCCGGTTTATCATCAACCACCTAGACCAGTGTTGCATTCACACCACGACCATGTTCTCAATAGGCGGAGAGATAGCCATTTCGATGCCGTGCTTGAGGGTTTCATGGAGAGCCAAAGAAAAACTAGCCGCGACATTGAGACAAAGCTAGAGTTCACGCGATACGAACTAGATGGAAGACTTGGAGAACTCTCTACCCAAATAGAGAGAGTAGAGTCAAGATGCTTGGACATGGAGGAAGATTTGAAGAAGCAAGGCGAGGCCATTGAAGACAATAGGAGAGCGATACACTTTACCAAAGTTTCCACCAAGGAGATGGACAATCACTTAGATGAGAAGATCACAAGTCTTGATAACAACCTCGATGGCACCACCAAGAGTCTCAATTCAATAACAGCAGTAGCTCATCAAGCTAAGAGGGAGGTAGCCGAAGTGACCCTAAAGAGAGGCAATGTTACTCGACGATGCTTACATTGGTGGAAGGGCAAAAACAAGTGAAGGCACAAATCCGAGATTTACACATCTCTCTAGACAAGAGGAGCCAAGATATTCAAAGAAGAGCTAGAGGGCTTGAAGACAAAGTAGATGGAGTCTCCAAGGAAGTCAAGGATTTAACCACTCGCTTAGCCAACTTGGAAGAGAAGGTCTTGACCGAGCAAAGACGACCGGTTCCAAGCACAACCATGCCGCGCCGTCTTTACTATAAGAGAGACCGACCCAAGAGTGATTTGGGATGAAGAAGAGAGAGAGCTGATCAAGAAAGAGCCACAAGGCTAACCACTGGAACAAGAGAAGATACACCAAAAGGAAGAACCCTTACTCAAAGGTCTTCACAACCGCCTCCCACCAAGGAGAAGAGGAAGACAAGATCATCACTTGAAGAGATCATAGATGATTTCAACTTTATGGCAAGGAGATTCCCTTATGGTGTGCCGTTTGATAATGCTTGCAACAAGAGTCCATTCATGCAAGACCTAGCTTGGACACAAGATTGGAGTCTAGCTGAAATGGAAAAGATGTACGAGGAAGCAAGAAAGGGAATGCCTAAACCTAGGTTTCTACACAAGCTTCATGACCCAGGTTACTTCCTTATACATTTCTCTATCAATGGAAGCTACTTTGATGATGCTCTTTGCGATTCCGGTTCTAGTGTGAACCTTATGCCGGCCGAGATAGCCAAGAAGTTGGGATTGATCAATTCAATTGTGAAATCTCGAATGGATTTAAAGCTAGCTGATTCATCATTGACCGAACCACTTGGAGAGGTTAAAGACATTCAGCTTGATTTTGGAGGCTGCATAGTTCCAGCCAACTTCTATGTAGTAACCATGAAGGATCCGGAGGACTTAAAGCTTTTGCTTGGAAGATCATTCCTAGCCACAGCTGGAGCGATCATGGATTGGCCTAATAGAAGAATCTCTCTAGCCAATGTTGACAAAGACACCTTCTACGATGCTTGATGCGGAGTCAGGTTTTACCAAACTCCTAGACCTCTGCAAGTGCACAGATCGCGGAAGTATGGGTATCGAACACAAGGACTGGCTATTGAGTACACTTTGTAACTATGGATTTTGGATCAAGCTAAAACAAAAGTATGATTTGAGGTTGTAATGGTGAACCGAACTAGCAAGTATAACGAGGTTGTAAACAATAAAGGAAAAGCGCTAGGTCATAGGGGCTATCGCAGAGAAGCAAGCAATGATCAATGAAACAATGATAGATTAATTGATTAGGGATATTGGGATATTAAGAACCATCTAGAACACAGATCACGAATATAAAACCATTCCACTTTCGAGGCTCCGGCTCCTTTGCTAATCTACCTAGTCGCTAAACTTTTGGTATGTCCCTAGGTGATTAGATCAAGCATTAGAATGAATAGGTTCTGATACAGTTCACTAGATATAGATAGATCAACTTTCGCAGTCTAAGAAACCTAGCTTGTCAAAGAATATGTCCGGCGAATGATACAGCACTGTCGAGGCTCAAATCAACCTAAGATCGGATTACTAGATGCGCGGTAAAGCAATCAGCATTAGTTAAGTGCACAAGACGAGACAAAGACTCTAATATAATCCCTAGCTAATCATTGAAATCAAAGATCATGCAAGCAACTCATTGAATAGTAACCCTAGCAACCTAACTAGTGGATTACTCAGACATGATCAAAGCAAACACACATAGAGATGAAGAAAACATGATTGCAATAAAACTTAGAGTAGGAAATCGAAATACAGGGCGGCTCTCTTTCTCAAGAGGCTAAAAATCCATATATATAGTGCTAGGTCTTTCTAGAGGCGGCTAGGGTTAAGCCGGGCTTGAAAACATAAGTTTGGGCTTCAAAAAGGGCTTCGGGTCGACCGCGGCGTTGGGACGGTCGTGCGGGACGATCGGCCGGACAATCGGGTCGTGGCGAGTCGGAACGGTCGGGGTCGGACGGATTCACGGTCGGCGGCGTGGTCGAGCGGATAGATTTGGCCGATGAAATTCTCGGCCGGACGTGGGACGTTCTTTCCCGGCTCGGACGGATGCATCGGCCGTGGTACGCGGAAGGTTGCGCGGCCGCGAGGCTTGTTTCCCGGCTCGCGCGCTTTGGTCGTGCGCGGTGTGGCGTGGCGTTGGCTTGGCCGACCGCGGGATGTTTCCCGGGTCGTGCGTGTGATCGGCCGAGTGGTTTGGACTTTGGCCGAGACTTCAGTCGGACGGAAATTTGGCCGAGCGCGGAACATTCGTTCCTCGGCCAGCCGGACTGCGCGGTTGGGCGCTGATTCTCGATAGAGCCGTCTGGACAGTCTTCACTCTTTTGGTTGTAACTCCTTTTCTACTCATCCAAATGAGGCCATTCCAATTGCGTTGGAAAGTTAACTCAATCAGAGCACGCAGGGAACTGGTCTTGATGAAATCCATTGAGTAGATCTTTTTCTGGGCCCTCTTAAAGTTGGTGCTTGTGCATGGAGCTGCTTGAAGTGCAAATCCTATGGTTTTGCTCCAAAATGCATCATTTCACCTGTTTAGACTCTAGACACTATAAACACAGTAAAACTACCTTTTTAGATAGAAAACCTGCCAAAAACCATTAGAAAACAATGCTAAAACAGTATAAAAAGTGGGTAAATTAGAGGTATATCAACTCCCCCAGACTTAGATCTTTGCTTGTCCTCAAGCAAAAAGAATCTAAATCCGTGAAAGAGGTTTGAAAACGTGGAAGCTCCCTTGCTCTTTTGAATATCCTGTGAAAGGTTCCTTTCCTGTATTCCACTATGAACATAGACAACATAAGGTTAGCTTCACATACACCCTGCAAGTTTAGCGAACAATACCAACCCAACTAGTCTCATCCAGCAATCCAAACTCTCTATTGCTAACCTCTTGCATAAATTTAAAGCGTGAATTCTTTATCAAGGGGACATCGATCAATTGAACTTGTTCTTACCCACTTGATCCTCTCCAAGATTGCCTCTTTAAGTGCAATGAGTTCTTTTCCTCTCTCTTTCTCACATCAGAACTTTGAAAGGTCAATTTCTCCCTACTTTTCTAGGGTATCATTTTATTTTTTCTATTGACCCTTCTTTCAACCACAGGATAAGTCTTTAGCTTGTTCCTTGTTTGACTAAGGTATTCCATAAGACATGAAGGTACAGACATATGCATTCCTCATGCTTACTTGTTTTCCTTGTGCTCTTTGAGCTTTTTCTCATAAATTACTTACCATTTGGGATGGGAGAGAGAGGAGAACTCTTTAAAGATTAGACAAATCTTATTGAAAATCAAGCAAGGAACTGTCGACATGTATGCCAACCCCCTTGACAAGAGTATTAAGATTGATTAAGGTGAGGTTAACTCTAGATTGCTTGGTTACCTTAGAAATTTTGCTGAGCTAGCATGTCGATCCACTGTAAGAGCTTCTGTTAGGCTTGTGCCTTTAGCTGGTTTCTGCTCTAGGGTCATGGATTGTTAGCATAACACTCTCAATTCTCAAAGCAAGTTCATAACTTCCGGACTGGTTTTTGACTCAATAAAACTTTTTGAAAAACATGAAACAAAGTGAATAAAACATAAGAAAAGAAAGAAAAATGCATTAGTAACACAATAAAACTCCCCCCAGACTTAACTTGCACCGTCCCGGTGAAAGCAAATCACATTAAGGTGAGAGGTAATATTCAAAGTAAAAGAAAAATAAAGAAAAATTCATTAAAATGAGATAGGGATAGAAAATGGAGATTTGTAAGTGTCCATTGCACTAAGTACCACTTGAGATGACTATGTGTGGCAGTGAGAAGAACTCTCTTCCTCATCTATGGGGTCATCGCCTTCTGAACCAAGCTCTGAGTCTAGTGAGAACTCACCAAGGTCAGGCTCATATGGCTCTCTAGCGGTGGAAGAAGGGCGAAAGAGTCTCTCCGGTGCAATGTGGCGAACTACACGGACTAGGCGTGAGATGAAGCGAGATTGGCACTCCACTATCTTCTCCAGCTTGTTAACACGGTCTAGAGCTTGGTGCGCGCCATGCCAGTAGTGAGAACATGGCGTTCTTGGATGGCGGCGTTGAGTCTTGACTGCATGCTGAAGTGTGCGATAGGTGAGCATGGGGAATGATGGTTTCTCACTTGATGGAACATAGAAGTCTTCCTCATTGGGCTGGAAAGTGACAACTCCTGAGCGTAGGCTTGGGATGTCTCATGTGGCAGCAAGACAAGGGAAGTGTTGGCTGGACCAATTGGAAACTCATAGCAAAACCGAGTTGGGTCTTTAGTCCAACGGTTTAGGAAGTGGATGTGCTGAAGAGCATGGAGATCCAAAGGGGTTGGCTTGGGTAGTGGCTCATAGTTGGGAATGTCAATCCCCACATGCAGTACTATGGCCGTGATAAGCCTCCCAAAACGAACACAAAGCTTCTTGTTGCCTTCCAAGTCTTGAGCTAGCTTCCTCACATTGATGAATGTCTTGGCAAGTAAAAGTCCAAGGTTGGCCTTGTACTCATGCTTGATGAATGGTGTGGTGAGGATGTAGAACTCATCAGTTGTGACCTTGTTGGCTTCTTGTTTGCATTGGAAAGTGGTGGAGATGAGGCGGTGCACATAGCGAATGGCTGGATGAGTGATTCTAGACACCTTTGACCTTGAAGGCAAGAATGGTTCATTGGCAAAGTGTGTCCAATCAGCAAAGGCAGCTTGTTTCCTCTTTGAGTTCTCCTTGAAGTCATGTGCTGTCTCATTGGGAAGTCCAAAGAGTTGGCATAGAGCTGAGATGGAGATGCGCCCATTGGCATCGCCTATCTTGAAGAGTAGGAGTCCATCACCAGCTGGTTGGTCTCCATTGTGGTTGGGAAAGGCAAGAGCTACTGTGGAGAGGAACTCCTTGGTGAGTTGTGAGTACTCACTACATTCTAGCTTGAAGAGCTTGCTCAAGCCTAGCTTCCTTATGTACCATGTGACATCATCTCTTATCTTGAGAAGATCAAGGGTTTGGGTGTCCATCTTCACACATGGCTCGATGTTCACCTTCTCCATTGCCTTCTTACACTTTCTTGGGTCTTGATTTGTTCTCCAACAAAGGTTACAAGTGCCCAATCATCTTCTCTCCTCTTGGACTCTCCACATGTTCTTGACTTGCATCAATGGAATGTGGTGAAGTTGGTATTGCTGCTCTTGCATTGGAGCTACTACTCCCTAGCTTGATTTGCTTCTTTGGTGGTTCCATGAATGGGTTCTTCTTCTTCTTCATACTCTCATTTCCTTTTGTCTTTGCCATTGGTGTACCTACAAGAGCAAATTCTTGGGAAGAAATATGAGTTTGTGATTAATGCAAAAGAAGAATAAGCTAATTGAGTTGTAATAATGATATGGAATAAAGGAACAACTCAAGGCTTAATCATGAATCAAAGAGACAAAATAGAAATTTCACTTTTTCAAAATTAATTTTCGGATTTTACTGTTCATCTCAAGATTATGGTGCTTAAAATCAAAATTTTTCAGCAAATCAAGAGAAATTGAGTTTCTAATCCAAGTAATCACTAGATAAACTAATGAATTGAAGTATGCCCAAGCAATTTCACCTTTGAATAAGGGGTTTGGAATGCCCAATAAGTTTTGTGAAAAACTATTCAATTGTGAAATTAAACTTCAAATTAACTCTAAACCACCTAGGTTCCACCTAGCAAAGTTCATTACAAGACTATAAGGATGCAATTTCAAGTTTAGACAAGAGTTTAGACCAAACATGAAACTTATTGATTTTCGATCTTGCATAAACATAGGATTAGAGTTAGAAGACATACCTTTGTGTTGAAAAGTGAATAAGGGTTGCAAGAGCAAGTAAATTCCAATTTAGAGTTATGAACAGTAAAAGTTTTGAAATCAAAACTCTTAGAGTTCCTCTAATGGAGTTTAGGGTTTTGGAGAAGAAAGAGAGGTTCTTGTGGTTTTCAAGGGAAAGGTGAAGTAAATAAGATCTAAATCCTATCAATTTTCCTTTTCAAATTCGAATTTTGATTGAAAACCGGTTTAAGTTGGTTTAGATTGGTTAAAACCGGTTTGAATTAATGAAAAGGGGACTTACCTTGGCCTAGAAAAGTTTGGGCCGATGGCCGATGGATTTTGTCGCGGTCGAGCGATTTGGTCGGCCAAATTGTTTGGCGAGAGATTTCGGCCGAGGCCGATCGTTGTTTCCCGGATCGACCGGCACGGTCGGTCCGTTCCGATACGAAAATTCGGCCGATCGCGGCCGTTCTTTCCCGGTTCGCGCGTGGCGCGAACTTTCTGTCGCGCAATAGATGAATCCGGCCGAGCACGGCTTCCTTCCCGGCTCGACCGTAACGGTCGGCCAGATTGGAATTGCTCGGCCAAAATTTTTTTGCGCGTCCGCGGCCAATGTTTTGGCGCGGATTGTGTTTTCACACCTTTTTCTCCTTCTATCCTATCTTAAAACAAAGAAAACACAAAAGCAAAACAAAAACTAAGAAAATTAAAGAAAGAAAAGTAAAAGTACCTCATGGGTTGCCTCCCATGCAGCGCTTGTTTTAAGTCTTTAGCTTGACTGTAAGGCTTGGCGCTCAGGAGAAGATGGAGACAAGAGGCATCCTCCCAAAGATTATCCCCAAGACTGATAACTCAGGAAAGTTTGTTGTGCCTTGTATCATCAAAGGTAACATTCTTGAGCAATCTTTGTGTGACACAGGAGCCAATGTGAACATCATGTCTAAGAGGATAGCTGACAAGATAGGCCTCACCAAGATAGAGCCATCATCCATCTCCATCAACTATGCTGATTCATTCTCACAAACCCCCTATGGCTTTGTGCCTAATGTGATGGTGCAGATTGGAAATTGCTCTATCCCTACTGATTTCCAGATTGTGGAAATGAGAGAGAGTAGCCATAGACCTCTCATATTTGGAACCCCTTTCCTGTCTACTGTGGGTGCCATATTTGATTTCCCCAATCAAAGAATCTCTTTCAACAAGGTGAACAAGGGTATGTTCTTCCCTATGTGTTCAACAAAAACTCTTTTGTTGACATGGTCCAAGAGGAGAAAGTTACTTTGAAGCCACCCCAAGAAGGAGAAACTGAAGAACAATCAAGGAAGATCCCATTCCTAAGCCCAAGCAGCTTGCCAAACAAGCAAGGAGTAAGACTAAGGCCCCTACACCAAAACCGCCCAAGGGATCAACCAAGATTGAAGATGAGGCCAAGCCAAGAAGAAGGTTAGAAAGCCTAGGTCTGGCCGCAACATGAAGCTTCTATTCCCAAAGGAGCTTATTGATGAGAATCTAGAAGGATTCAAGGAGAAAGTGACAAGAACTCTAAAGCTTTTTCCTAAGGCATTTGTGCCAAGGGACATTCATGGAGAGATTGTCTATCCAGCTGTGAATCACCCACCAGATACTCATTGCAAGGAGAAAAGACTTGTCTATCCAAAGCGCTCGACCGCGACACAAATCCATCGGCCATCGGCCCAAAACTTTTCGGCCAAGGTAAGTCCCCTTTTCATTAAATTCAAACCGGTTTTAACCAATCCTAAACCAACTTAAACCGGTTTTCAATCAAAATTCGAATTTGAAAAGGAAAATTGATAGGATTAGATCTTATTTACTTTACCTTTCCCTTGAAAACACAAGAACCTCTCTTTCTTCTCCAAAACCCTAAACTCCATTAGAGGAACTCTAAGAGTTTTGATTTCAAAACTTTTACTGTTCATAACTCTAAATTGGAATTTACTTGCTCTTGCAACCTTATTCACTTTTCAATACACAAGGTATGTCTTCTAACTCTAATCCTATGTTTATGCAAGATCGAAATCTCAATAAGTTTCATGTTTGGTCTAAACTCTTGTCTAACTTGAAATTAGCATCCTTATAGTCTTGTAATGAACTTAGCTAGGTGGAACCTAGGTGGTTTAGAGTTAATTTGAAGTTTAATTTCACAATTGAATAGTTTTTCACAAAACTTATTGGGCATTCCAAACCCCTTATTCAAAGGTGAAATTGCTTAGCATACTTCAATTCATTAGTTTATCTAGTGATTACTTGGATTAGAAACTCAATTTCTCTTGATTTGCTAAAAATTTTCGATTTTAAGCACCATAATCTTGGGATGAACAGTAAAATCCGAAAATTAATTTTGAAAAAGTGAAATTTCTATTTTGTCTCTTTGATTCATGATTAAGCCTTGAGTTGTTCCTTTATTCCATATCATTATTACAACTCAATTAGCTTATTCTTCTTTTGCATTAATCACAAACTCATATTTCTTCCCAAGAATTTGCTCTTGTAGGTACCCAATGGCAAAGACAAAAGGAAATGAGAGTATGAAGAAGAAGAACCCATTCATGCAACCACCAAGAAACAAATCAAGCTAGGGAGTAGTAGCTCCAATGCAAGAGCAGAAATACCAACTTCACCACATTCCATTGATGCAATCAAGAACATGTGGAGAGTCCAAGAAGAGGAGAAGATGATTGGGCACTTGTAACCTTTGTTGGAGAACAAAATCAAGACCCAAGAAAGTGTAAGAAGGCAATGGAGAAGGTGAACATCGAGCCATGTGTGAAGATGGACACCCAAACCCTTGATCTTCTCAAGATAAGAGATGATGTCACATGGTACATAAGGAAGCTAGGCTTGAGCAAGCTCTTCAAGCTAGATGTAGTGAGTACTCACAACTCACCAAGGAGTTCCTCTCCACAGTAGCTCTTGCCTTTCCCAACCACAATGGAGACCAACCAGCTGGTGATGGACTCCTACTCTTCAAGATAGGCGATGCCAATGGGCGCATATCCATCTCAGCTCTATGCCAACTCTTTGGACTTCCCAATGAGACAGCACATGACTTCAAGGAGAACTCAAAGAGGAAACAAGCTGCCTTTGCTGATTGGACACACTTTGCCAATGAACCATTCTTGCCTTCAAGATCAAAGGTGTCTAGAATCACTCATCCAGCCATTCGCTATGTGCACCGCCTCATCTCCACCACTTTCCAATGCAAACAAGAAGCCAACAAGGTCACAACTGATGAGTTCTACATCCTCACCACACCATTCATCAAGCATGAGTACAAGGCCAACCTTGGACTTTTACTTGCCAAGACATTCATCAATGTGAGGAAGCTAGCTAAAGACTTGGAAGGCAACAAGAAGCTTTGTGTTCGTTTTGGGAGGCTTATCACGGCCATAGTACTGCATGTGGGGATTGACATTCCCAACTATGAGCCACTACCCAAGCCAACCCCTTTGGATCTCCATGCTCTTCAGCACATCCACTTCCTAAACCGTTGGACTAAAGACCCAACTCGGTTTTGCTATGAGTTTCCAATTGGTCCAGCCAACACTTCCCTTGTCTTGCTGCCACATGAGACATCCCAAGCCTACGCTCAGGAGTTGTCACTTTCCAGCCCAATGAGGAAGACTTCTATGTTCCATCAAGTGAGAAACCATCATTCCCCATGCTCACCTATCGCACACTTCAGCATGCAGTCAAGACTCAACGCCGCCATCCAAGAACGCCATGTTCTCACTACTGGCATGGCGCGCACCAGGCTCTAGACCGTGTTAACAAGCTGGAGAAGATAGTGGATGCCAATCTCGCTTCATCTCACGCCTAGTCGTGTAGTTCGCCACATTGCACCGGAGAGACTCTTTCGCCCTTCTTCCACCGCTAGAGAGCCATATGAGCCTGACCTTGGTGAGTTCTCACTAGACTCAGAGCTTGGTTCAGAAGGCGATGACCCCATAGATGAGGAAGAGAGTTCTTCTCACTGCCACACATAGTCATCTCAAGTGGTACTTAGTGCAATGGACACTTACAAATCTCCATTTTCTATCCCTATCTCATTTTAATGAATTTTTCTTTATTTTTTTTTACTTTGAATATTACCTCTCACCTTAATGTGATTTGCTTTCACCGGGACGGTGCAAGTTAAGTCTGGGGGGAGTTTTATTGTGTTACTAATGCATTTTTCTTTCTTTTCTTATGTTTTATTCACTTTGTTTCATGTTTTTCAAAAAGTTTTATTGAGTCAAAAACCAGTCCGGAAGTTATGAACTTGCTTTGAGAATTGAGAGTGTTATGCTAACAATCCATGACCCTAGAGCAGAAACCAGCTAAAGGCACAAGCCTAACAGAAGCTCTTACAGTGGATCGACATGCTAGCTCAGCAAAATTTCTAAGGTAACCAAGCAATCTAGAGTTAACCTCACCTTAATCAATCTTAATTACTCTTGTCAAGGGGGTTGGCATACATGTCGACAGTTCCTTGCTTGATTTTCAATAAGATTTGTCTAATCTTTAAAGAGTTCTCCTCTCTCTCCCATCCCAAATGGTAAGTATATTTATGAGAAAAAGCTCAAAGAGCACAAGGACAACAAGTAAGCATGAGGAATGCATATGTCTGTACCTTCATGTCTTATGGAATACCTTAGTCAAACAAGGAACAAGCTAAAGACTTATCCTGTGGTTGAAAGAAGGGTCAATAGAAAAAATAAAATGATACCCTAGAAAAGTAGGGAGAAATTGACCTTTCAAAGTTCTGATGTGAGAAAGAGAGAGGAAAAGAACTCATTGCACTTAAAGAGGCAATCTTGGAGGGATCAAGTGGGTAAGAACAAGTTCAATTGATCGATGTCCCCTTGATAAAGAATTCACGCTTTAAATTTATGCAAGAGGTTAGCAATAGAGAGTTTGGATTGCTGGATGAGACTAGTTGGGTTGGTATTGTTCGCTAAACTTGCAGGGTGTATGTGAAGCTAACCTTATGTTGTCTATGTTCATAGTGGAATACAGGAAAGGAACCTTTCACAGGATATTCAAAAGAGCAAGGGAGCTTCCACGTTTTCAAACCTCTTTCACGGATTAGATTCTTTTTGCTTGAGGACAAGCAAAGATCTAAGTCTGGGGGAGTTGATATACCTCTAATTTACCCACTTTTTATACTGTTTTAGCATTGTTTTCTAATGGTTTTTGGCAGGTTTTCTATCTAAAAAGGTAGTTTTACTGTGTTTATAGTGTCTAGAGTCTAAACAGGTGAAATGATGCATTTTGGAGCAAAACCATAGGATTTGCACTTCAAGCCGCTCCATGCACAAGCACCAACTTTAAGAGGGCCCAGAAAAAGATCTACTCAATGGATTTCATCAAGACCAGTTCCCTGCGTGCTCTGATTGAGTTAACTTTCCAACGCAACTGGAATGGCTCATTTGGATGAGTAGAAAAGGAGTTACAACCAAAAGAGTGAAGACTGTCCAGACGGCTCTATCGAGAATCAGCGCCCAACCGCGCAGTCCGGCTGGCCGAGGAACGAATGTTCCGCGCTCGGCCAAATTTCCGTCCGACTGAAGTCTCGGCCAAAGTCCAAACCACTCGGCCGATCACGCACACGACCCGGGAAACATCCCGCGGTCGGCCAAGCCAACGCCACGCCACACCGCGCACGACCAAAGCGCGCGAGCCGGGAAACAAGGCCTCGCGGCCGCGCAACCCTTCTCGCGTACCACGGCCGATGCATCCGTCCGAGCCGGGAAAGAACGTCCCACGTCCGGCCGAGAATTTCATCGGCCAAATCTATCCGCTCGACCACGCCGCCGACCGGAATCCGTCCGACCCCGACCGTTCCGACTCCCACGACCGATTGTCCGGCCGATCGTCCCGCACGACCGTCCCAACGCCGCGGTCGACCCGAAGCCCTTTTTGAAGCCCAAACTTATGTTTTCAAGCCCGGCTTAACCCTAGCCGCCTCTAGAAAAGACCTAGCACTATATATATGGATTTTTAGCCTCTTGAGAAAGAGAGCCGCCCTTGTATTTCGATTTCCTACTCTAAGTTTTATTGCAATCATGTTTTCTTCATCTCTATGTGTGTTTGCTTTGATCATGTCTGAGTAATCCACTAGTTAGGTTGCTAGGGTTACTATTCAATGAGTTGCTTGCATGATCTTTGATTTCAATGATTAGCTAGGGATTATATTAGAGTCTTTGTCTCGTCTTGTGCACTTAACTAATGCTGATTGCTTTACCGCGCATCTAGTAATCCGATCTTAGGTTGATTTGAGCCTCGACAGTGCTGTATCATTCGCCGGACATATTCTTTGACAAGCTAGGTTTCTTAGACTGCGAAAGTTGATCTATCTATATCTAGTGAACTGTATCAGAACCTATTCATTCTAATGCTTGATCTAATCACCTAGGGACATACCAAAAGTTTAGCGACTAGGTAGATTAGCAAAGGAGCCGGAGCCTCGAAAGTGGAATGGTTTTATATTCGTGATCTGTGTTCTAGATGGTTCTTAATATCCCAATATCCCTAATCAATTAATCTATCATTGTTTCATTGATCATTGCTTGCTTCTCTGCGATAGCCCCTATGACCTAGCGCTTTTCCTTTATTGTTTACAACCTCGTTATACTTGCTAGTTCGGTTCACCATTACAACCTCAATCATACTTTTGTTTTAGCTTGATCCAAAATCCATAGTTACAAAGTGTACTCAATAGCCAGTCCTTGTGTTCGATACCCATACTTCCGCGATCTGTGCACTTGCAGAGGTCTAGGAGTTTGGTAAAACCTGACTCCGCATCACCTAGATCTAAGGTTCAAGGAGCATGAAGCTCAAGAACACAAAGAGAGGTTTAAGGTTTCAAAAAGTAAAGATACAAAATTAAAGAAAAGATGAAACTAAAACTAGGCTAAAGATTGTTGTCTTTTACGTGGCTGATGATAGGATTTTGTGGATGTGTGATATGAATGAAGATGATAGATATGAGGTGGAATGCAACAGTGGTATAAAGATGATGGTGCAATCACAATCAATCAATTCCCTCTTAACCATCATAGTCAAGTAGATAAGGGTTATCAATCCAAAATGGGAAACTTGTCACTCTATGAGAATATGAAACACAAGAAAGTCAAGCAAGCAGTAATAGATTTGAAGTAACACTAACAACCTAAAAATGAAATGCAATGCAATAAAAGTAAAAAAGCAGTGAAGCAAGCAGCTCGACCAAGACTCGAGTCGAGTGGAACAAAGTACCAGCTCGATCGAGTTTAGGGACGAGTTGAAGAACAAAGCTAAAGTGACGACTTTAACAAGCTAAATAAGAATTAGGGTCTAAGACAGGGTTTACAATCAGAGGAACTACACTTAATCAATCTGCTCTTAAAACTCCTTGTATCAAGGCTTCTCTTGATATTGGGCTTCTCAATGCCTAGCAACCCTTTCCCAAGGTGAAGGCTATCAACCAAGGAATGATCTCAGAAACAGGGGGTTAGCCAGTGAGAATCAAACCTTGGAGGCATAGGATCATTGCCCAAACTAATCCATCCAACCCCTTAGACCTCTATTTCTAGAGCAAGAGATATTGGAGCTCTTAGTGGATCTTTTCCAGCGATTTGCCATCACTTCCGTGTGGAGAATCGCCTAAGGACATACAAGCCAGGGGTAGTGGTCATGTAGCCTTAAGATCTATCCAAAAGAGAGAGAATCTAGATTAAGACCATAAGCAAGAAGGATTAAGCATAAAACCTCTAATCTATCCCATCTCAAACCCTAATGGGTAACTACTCACTACACATGAATGTAAACACAAGCAAATGCAATAAAAGAGACATCATAAGAAAGAGGAGATGAAATAAACAACTTTTATTGAAATAAGCAAGTGCAAATACAAAGAGATTATCCAGGATCTAGGATTCAAGAAGCAAGAGCTTCAAGAACACAAAGATGGGATTAGAGCTCTAAAAAGTAAAAGACAATAAATTAAAAGAAACTAAAACAAAAAGTAATCTAAAGCTTGGTGGTTTTTTCGTGGCTTAGAGCCTTTAAATACAAAGAGGATTAGGTTTAGGGTCAAAGGAAAGTCAAGGGGGAAGCAACATTTTTCGGGTTTGACTGTTGACTTCTCAGCTCGATCGAGTTGAAGCTTGGCCGGTCGAGTAGAGTGGTCGAGCTGGTCTTCAAGATGGCTTCTCCCTTCTTCCTTTGCGTATCCAGTTGAGCTGCGTCCATGTGCCAAGTCCCTCCATGCTCCTCATGTCCCATATGCTCCAGAATGCTCCAAAAGACCTATTTCAAAGGACCAAACATGCATATGTATGCAAATGCAACCTAAAACTACTATGAATGCATAAGAAGAGAAAAGGAACAAGATATGATGCAAATGGATGCTAAAACTATGCAAAAGATGCATAAAAGATGTACTAAAACTATGTAAAATGCAAGTACATCAACACCCCCAAACTTGAACTTTGCTTGCCCTCAAGCAAACAAATAGAACAAGAAAGAGATGAGGTTTGAAAAAGCTGATTCAACACTTAAAAACATGTCCTCAAAAGCGATTTGCTAAATGTCCAACTTAGAGATTCTAGAATGCAACAAGGTGAGAGATATTCATTAAGATTTAACCATGCTTATCAACATCAATCCCACTTCACAGTCACTCAAACAATGCATTCAAATCAGCAAATCCCTTTAACATTCATTAAGCAAAAACAGTGAACCAAAAACATGCAAGATCAATCAACTCATTTGGTTTCAAGGGTTTATGGGTTAAGAGACAAAGAGGGTCTCTTTTGTATGGTGGTTTAGTAACAGGGATCTCTCAAGAAAGTGGCTTTGCTTTGGCAGAAGGCTAAGTGTTAGAACCAAAGATGATGCAAGAACAGCAGCTCGAGCCGTCTAATCCTAACTCGATCGAGTTCAACACTTAGAGCTTTTTAGAACAAAATCCTAACTACCCTTTTTGGCATTTCGCCTTTGAAACTGAGGAGCTTTGCTCACTTTTCTTTTAAGAACTTCCTAGGGAGAGGCTTCTTGAGGTAACATCTAGCGGTTTGGGATTTTCTAAACACTTAGGGAACTTTTCTTTTCTTTTTGACACTTGAGGCTTTGCCTTCTTTTCATTCTACTTAGAACCCTTTTTACTTCCTTTTTTAACTTCCCAAACCTTTACTAGACCCTTTTTACACTGCCAACTCCCTGGACTTAACTAAACTCTTTTTCCTTTGGGTTTTTCCCAACTTTTACCACTTTTCTGGTTTTTACACCCAACTCGATCGAGCTCGAGTTGGCACCCCCAAACTTAGCCTGAAAACAATCCCAAGAGAACTAGACAACTAGAACTACTGCCCCTGCCGGTTTAAACACAACACCTTATGCTAAGCAAAGCCAAGAAAGGTTCTCACATTCGCACAAGAGATAAATATGGGGTTTGAAATGAAAAGGCTTAGGTTTAAGGTGTGGTAACTGTCTCAAAGATGGAGATCAGCTATCTGGACAAGCAAAAGGGATATGAAAATGGTAAAGAATGTCCAGATATGTATGTGGTAGCCATGAGTTGAAATCAAATGCAAGCATTGGTAATTAAAGATCAAGTTATGGTTCATATAAATAGGGAAATGCATCAAATCACAGCAATGGTTGAATGAGATGTGCATGCAGTGATATGATCAAGATAAACATGGTTCTTGCTGCTCAATCAATCTCACCCTAATGCACAAAAGAATCTAAAAACAGGGCACTCAAGAAATCGCAAAAGATGAACAAGTTTTCAAAGTCAAATCAACAATGCAAGTGAAAAATGCAATCCTAAACAAGTCTAACAAATATGAATGCAAAAAGATGAAAATATTTTTGGATTTTTTGAAAATTTTATGATTTTTTTGGTTTTTCTATGCAAATAAATGAAAAACTAAGAACAAAGAAAACAAGGTTAAATCATCTCTTGAACCCTCCCCCAAACTTAAATCACACAGTCCCTTGTGTGAGAAAAATTTAGTGAAAGATTCAAGAGGGCAAAACCAAGAAAAACAAAACAAAGAAAATATGAAATGGTATATACAAGGGTTGGTGTTTGGATACCTCAGTGCCCCCCAAAGAACTGGGAGGCAAGGTCGTGGTCTGGAGATGGTAGACGGCCATCAGGAGCACTCCACTCGACTGGGTTCCTCGCTCGATCGAGCTTGCTCGCTCGATCGAGTTGTGCCTCTTCCTCTTCTTCCTAAAACCTGCTCCTGTAAGACTTAGCCAAGAAAATCATAGAAATAAAAGGTAAAGCATAAATATATAAGATAGACATGGGAATTCCTCCCAAGTGAGCTTGTTTTAGGTCTCATAGCTTGACCTTACCCCTTTTAGGCCGGGGTTGGATCTTCTAGAGGAGTGATGATCTCCTCTGTGGGGGTCATTCCTAGATATGGCTTGCATCTATGTCCATTCACTGTGAATTCCTTCCCCTCTTGATTGAGTAAGAGTGAGGGATCCATAGGGTAGAACTTCGTGAATCTTGAATGGTCCCGCCCACTTTGACCTTAGCTTCCCGGGAAACAACCTTAGCTTGGAGTTATACAAGAGCACACTGTCCCCAACCTTGAAGTCTTTAAGGCGAATCAGTTTGTCATGGGCTGCCTTTGTTCTCATCTTATAGATCATGGAGTTCTCATAGGCATTCATTCTGATTTCCTCCAACTCAAACAAGTTCATTACTCTTCTCTCTTGTGCAGCCTTTATATCAAAGTTCAGCATCTTACTGCCCATAGTGCCTTGTACTCTACCTCTACAGGTAAGTGACAATCCTTTCCATACAGCAAGTTGAAAGGGGACCTTCCAATGGGGGTTTTGTAAGCTGTTCTATAGCCCAAAGAGCTTCATCAAGTCTTGCTGCCCAATCCTTTCCTAGTAAAGCTCACTGTCTTCTCAAGAATGGCCTTTATCTGTCTATTGGAGACCTCAACTTGCCCACTGGTTTGAGGATGGTAAGGTGTAGCGACCTTGTGCTTGACTCCATAACTCTTCATCAACTTCTCAAACACTTATTGATGAAATGGGAACCTCCATCCGAAATAACAACCCTTGGGATGCCATATCTTGGAAAGATGATGGTTCTGAACAGTTTGATAACAACCTTAGCATCACAGGTTGGGCAGGGGATGGCTTCAATCCATTTGGACACATAGTCCACAGCAACCAGAATGTAGTTGTGCCCGTTTGAGGAAGGCTTGAAAGGTCCCATGAAGTCTATCCCCCATTGATGTACTTGCATTTTACATAGTTTTAGCACGTCTTTTATGCATCTTTTGCATAGTTTTAGCTTCCATTTGTATCATATCTTGTTCCTTTTCTCTTCTTATGCATTCATGTTAGCTTTAGGTTGCATTTGCATACATATGCATGTTTGGCCCTTTGAAATAGGTCTTTTGGAGCATTCTGGAGCATATTGGACATGAGGAGCATGGAGGGACTTGGCGCATGGAAGCAGCTCAACTGGACACGCAAAGGAGGAAGGGAGAAGCCATCTTGAAG